ATGGGATGGGCGGGGGAGGGGAGGTCTCCCCCATCCCCCTCGCTTGCTGGAGGGGACCCTGGCCAGGCTGGGGGTGCAGAGGAGCTGCTGGCTCCGAGGTAATACAGGAGCCTCCAACTGCCAGACAAACAGAGCCGGCAACAAAGCACGCTGGGCCGGGGTGAGATGGATGGGGGCTGCGCGGGGGAGGGTGGGGGCATGGGTCTGAGCCAAGGGAGATGCAGGCCGGGTTGTGGGGGTTGTGAGCCTGGGGGATTGTCTCCCGGGGGAAGAGTGCAGAGTCTAGCATGGGGACCAACCAGCCCTGGCCAAGGCGGGAGCCGGCATTCAGTCTCCCAGCCCTGGGCCTTGCAGCCCCCTTTACAGATGGGGAAACTGAGGCACGGAGTGTGGGAGGGTCCTAACCCATGTGCTCAGACCATCAGCCCCTCCCTGCCTGGGATGGCTGGGTCGTGCCTGTACAGTGACTCCTGTGGGCAGGGCCCCAAGGCGCAGCAACCCTGGGTCTGCTGGCAAGGCTGGGGTGCTCCCTAACTCTACCAGGCCGCGTCGCGGCCCCCCCTCCTGGGGCACGGCTGGGACCATTCTTCTATTGCAGGGCCGCTCAGTGGTGGGGGTTACAGCAGAGAGCAGGTCCTGCGCAGGGGAGGGACTGTGGGTCGGGACTGAGGGGGAGGGGAGAGGGGACTTGGTGTAGCACTTGGCATCTGTCTCCATCCCTTGCCTCCCTACTGAACCAGCACCTGCTGTAGGGGTGGGGCAGGGCAGTGAGGGGGCATCGCTCTGGGTCCGTGGGCACGTGATCATCGCTCGTTAACTCCGTGTGTTCCTCACGGGGCCCTGGTGCTTGGTGGGGCGGGAATGGCTCTTAAAGGGTCAGGCCCTGCTCAGCTGGGCCGCTGAGTCGTCTCCAGGGAGTCCTCGAACTCATTTCTCTGGCCTTGTTGTTTCCTGTTTGGGCTTTTCGTCTGTCTAGCTCCTTGTACGGCCCGGATTTACTCTCCCACCCACACAGCCCCTGTTGCGAGGGAGGGAGTGGCCATCCCCATTTTGCGGGTGGGGAAACTGAGGCACAGAATGAGTCAGTGACTCACCCGAGGTCACATGACAAGTCAGTGGCAGAGATGGGACTTGACCCAAAGTCTCCTGAGTCCCAGCCCAGGAGCCTTATCAACCCCAACCTAGCGTCTCTTTTGTGGCCTTCCCCGTGGCCTTGTTGATGAGTGCAGAGTGCTAGGGGGCGTAGCCAGGAGTGGCGGCCGGCGTGCCAGGGTTGTGGGGTGTGCAAGGCGGCGGGGGCGTCTGTCTGGTTGCTCTGTGTGGGCGGGAGCTGGGCTATTTGATTTGTAAATGGCTGGCTGGCATCTGGAGCGTGTCCTGCCCCACTTGGTCCCTAAATGGTGCTGGCTGCCACCCCACTGCACGGTGTCCTGTCTTCTCGCCCTCCCTGGGGCTTTGACACACACAACGGGGCGGGAGGGGTGGTGTTTATAAATGTGACTGAAGAGATTCAAGAGCAGCTGCTGCCCCCTGTGTGTGTCCGGCTCCTGCGCCCGGGTTCTAGACCTTCAATCCGGATGGGTCGGGAAACCTGAGGACCGGGCTGTGAAACTGACTAGGGGCACCGGAAACTGCGTCTGGTGTCGCAGCCCAATTGCCTGTGCCCATGTGAAGTGTGGACTCGTGCTCTGCCCACCTGAGCGCCCCGCTCACACAGGCCGAGGGGGAACCGTCTTCCCTCTGATCGGACAGGGCCTTGCCGCTCCCAGAGCGTGTCCACGCACCGCCTGCCGGCTCGCCCTCCGCGGGCCAGGTCCCTGCAGCCGAGACAGCGCTGGCCTCTTGCTGCAGAGACCTCGTCCCCTGGCTCCCTGCCGCTTCGTGGGGTTCTATCGCCCACGATTCCCCGGCCGTGTCGAAGCCAGCGAACCAAGCAGCCGCTGGGGCCTGCGGCTGGGGCCTGCGGCCGGCGTGCGCTCGGCTGTGTGTGTTGGATCAGATTTGTAGCTCGCTCGCCCCTGCTCTGATTTAAAGGAACACAAGCTCACGGGTTCCCTGGACAATCCCCTTAACTTCCCCCCGATGAAAACCCTTCCTGCTTAGAGTCTGTTCTCCCCCTGGCCCTGTCTCTGGCTGGGCCTGCCGGCGGAGGTTCTGGGGTGCTTGGGGTGCTCGGTTCGGCTCAGACGGCCCAGCCGTGAAGTTGGGATCCGGGTGCCCCCCAGTTTCTGGGCTGTTGGTTCAGGTGTGGCTCTGCCAGGGGCATTTACGGGAAAACCGTCTCTTTTGTCCCCTCCGAGTTGAGTGGCGGCTGCTGGATTACTGCTCCCTAATCCGCGCCCGGCCCAGGCCGGTTGCCGGGCGATGCTGTTTGTGCCAGGACCGAGAGGACCCTGACATCAGAGGGGGAATGCGGCAGCAGGAGCTGGGCCAGGAACGAAGATCCGGCTTCTGTGCAAACGCCCGTGGCAGTCGGGGAGGATGTGGGGCTGGGAGTGGTCCTAGCTGGGCTGGTTTGAAGAGCTGCTCTGTGCCCGGTGTCTGGGCTGGGCCAGGAGGAGTCGGGCTTTGCTCTGAATATGTCCAGGCCTCAGACCCGTCGCTGGTGCAGGGAGCCAGGCCTGGCGTGGGGAGCGGGGGTGTCCCTGCTCAGCGACCCTGACCCATGGCTGGCTGGCAGGGTGGGGAGAGCAGACGCTGCCTCGTGGGCTGCCTGAATTTGCCAGGCAGGGAGGCTGGCTTGTGCCACTGGCATATGGGAGCCCAGGGGGGCGGGGCAGAACCTAGACTCTCCCCTGAGCTTTGCAGAGAGCCGGTGGGAGGCTGAGGGGGAGCGATGCAGGCAGGGGCCATGCTTGGGGGGGGGACTGGGGGGTTTGGGGCAGAGTGGTGCAGACAGCACCATGCAGAGGCCGGGGGAGGAGTGGGGCTGGGGCGGAGCGGTCGCCTCGGGGATGCAGGGACGAGCATGGGGCCCCATACCAGGCTCCCCCCACCCAGCGGGCGTGTGTGGCATGGTGGCAAGCTACCCAGAAGCTCAGGGACCTTTGGCCAGCAGGGCAGCCCCTCCCCGCGTACTGGCGCCCAAAGGGGCCTGGAGGCCGCTGGTTGCATGGCCCAGTCATTGGCGCCTTGGTGGGCAGAGGGGGCAGCGAATGCCAGTGACCCGGTGGTGTCTGTACTGCGGTCCCTTGCCTGCTGTGGGCTGGACGGAGCCCCAAGCTTGGCTCATGCCAGCCCCGGATGCCCTGGGGGACCGGACTATGGGCTGGCTGGGGCTGAGAGGCGGGTCCCCTCCCAGGCCCCTGACTCCTGTACCCGTGTTGGATCGGCTGGGTGGGCTCCTCACTGCAGCCGTGTGGTCCTGGCAGCGGGGTGGAGATGGGGGGGAGCCCCCCAGAGCGGGGAGCAAGGCAGCTGTGAGCCCAGGCCCTGCAGATCCTTGGAGCCAGCTGCAGCCTGGGCTGTGGGCATGCGGGCACCAGCCTCTGTAACCCCAGCGTGCTGACGGGAGGCCTGGGGCTGGTGGTGACCCGGCTGGAGGGAGAGGAAGTTGTCTCAAGTGCTGCCAAATGGTGCGTAAGGAACAGGCCGGGCTGGCATCAGTGCTCAGCTGGGGGGTGGGCAAGTCTCCTGCACCCCCTGTGTGCTCACAGCCGTCCTTGTGGGTCAAGCTGGATGCGCGGAACCGACGGGAATTTTCGGGCGCAAAGCAGCTCTCCCCTGGGGTCTCCCTGGCTCACCACACGTGATGCCCCACGCCAGTGCTGACTCCGTCCTTCACAGGAGGGCGCTGTTCTCCTGTGCTGGTGGTCGGCGGGGCCGGGCCTGTCCCGGTGGGCCCCCGGGGCCGGCAGCATGTGGCTGGCCTTGCCAGGGCCCTGGCCAGGTCAGAATCCTGCCCACGTTGCCAGGAGCCCGCCGGGGAGCACCTGGGAAGGGGGCAGGCCGTTGGCTTTGGGGTGCCCAGTGCAATCCAGGGGGGTCGGCCCAGCTGGCGGCCCTCGTGCTAGTCACCCCCTCCCCTCCCAGTCGTGCCTGTTCTCTCACACCCAGCGTGCTGCAATGTGGGGGTGGGGGTGGGTGTGAATTCTTCAGGGTCTGGGGCTGCAGCGAGTGGGTCTTCCCTGGGCTATGCTGCCCCCCCCCTCCCCGGGCTGGCCATGGCTGTAGCAGGAGCGCGTGGCCTGATGGCACAGGAGACATGGGGCTGGAGGTGCTTCTCTGTCCCATTGCCCCATGGGCACGGTGCTGGGCCAGCCTCAGCAGCTCCTCAATGGGCAGTGAGTTGTGCCAGCCCTGCCATGGGGAGTCTGGGGCAAAGGGGGCACTGAAAGCCCCCCGAGGCCCTGAGCCTCCCAGGCCAAGATTGGTCCTCAACCCCCCCTGTCCCATCTATCCCATCCCCACCTGGATCAGGGCTGGGTTGTTTGCCCCCAGGGGCTCTGTCCCCTCCAGGACGAGATGGCTGAGCAAAGGGCCCCCCCTTTCCCTGGGGGACCCCCCCACCCGGCAGCTTCTCCTGGAGAGTCTGTTGCGTTTCCCCTTTCTCAGTGTCGCCCTGTTTCTCTCAGCTCTGCTGGTGCCCCTCACTCCCGACCCGCAGCCCCCTGCTAGCCCAGCCCTGGGCTTCCCCCCAGCTCTTCCAGTGATGGGGGAGCGGCAGGCGATGGGGCAGTGGGCGGGCAGTTTCCCTGGCGGTTGGGCAAGCGATATCGGGGGTGGGGAGCAATTGTCGGCGGTGGGGTCCCCACGGGCGGGGGGGATGGGGAGCAGTGCCCCCCAGGCAGGCGGTGGGCTGGTGTCCCTGGAAGGTGGGCGATATGGGGGGGTGGAGAGCGGTGGCCCTGCAGGGAGGCGGTGGGTGAAGGGGGGGACAGTGCCCCTGCAGGTAGGCGGGGAGTGGTGCCCCCGTGGGAGGGCAGTGGGCGAGGGGGGCAGCGGTGCCCACGGGCTCCATCCCAGCGGGGCTCAGTGCTGGTTTCCCTCTCTCCCTGCAGGCTGCCTGCGTGGTCCCCGCCGTCTGAGGCCCCCACGCCATGGCCATAGTGCAGACCCGGCCCGTCTCCATCGAGCCCGCTTCTGAGGCGGCCCCCCAGCTCCGCACCAGCACCCGCTCGCCCGCTTCCGCCCGCGGCGCCATGGGGAGCGTCAGCAGCCTCATCTCCGGCCGGCCCTGCCACGAGAGGCCCTGCAAGGCCGCGCCCGGCCCCTTCCGCCAGCAGGACGGGCTGCTCCAGGCCGCCCCCCTCCAGGGGCTGCCCCCCCCCAAGCTCTGCTCCGGCCTGGCGCCCGGGCGCGGCACCTACGCCAGCGAGGACTTCTGGGCCGAGGCCGTGTCCCCCGTCAGCCCCTGCAGCGACGCCGAGGAGCCGCGGGACGAGCGGGCTCGGAGCAGCCACGTCCAGGGGCCGCCCCCGAGGCTGGTCCCCGTCTCCGGGCAGCTGGAGAAGGTGAAGATCTGGGGGCGTCTGTGGCCGGGCTGAGTCCATCCCCTCCCCCTGCCGGGCCAGGCCTTTGGGGCACCCGGTCTGGGCATCCCGCCTCCAGCAGTGACTCTAGAGACAGTCGCCCCCCACCCCAGCAATACACCTGACCCGTTCAGCCCTCCATGGGGAGGGTGGGGGTCTAGTTACTTCCTGACCCGCCTGGCCATGGGCTTCCGCCCTGACTCACAGCAGTGCTTTCCCCTCCTTACTGGGTATTTGTGCCATCATTAGTGGTGCCAGCAGGTAGCGCCAGGGGGGCAGGAGCTGCCCAAGGAAGCCTAGTCCAGCCCCCTACCCTCCTGCAGCAGGGAGTTCCACAGGCCCTGTGCTGCGGTGATCATATCTCCCTGTACTAGTTCTTGGTGTCTGCTGTTGCCTGGTTGCTCCTTTGCAGCGTTGGCACGCTGGCAGCGTCCTGTAGCTGCAGAGGTAGTGGGCAGCTGCCTGGCATTTGTGGGGACCGCCCCCCCCCCCGGTTCCAGCTGCAGAGATGGGGTTAATTAACCTGGCAATGCCACTAAACCCGCAGGCACCTCTGGCTTCCCCTCTGCCCTGGGGGAGGTTCATTGTCACTGGCCCTAGTTCGCCAGGTCGACCTGGGCGGTGGGCACACACTGTTGCAACCCTATTTGCTTAGTGTAAGTGGGAGCCGCCGATCCCTAGTGCTCCTGTTCTTATAGGGGATGTGGGTTCTTCCGGCCCCCGCTGCCCTGTCAGACCTAGGACGCACTAACCCATTGGTGCCCATTGAGGGCGAGGACGGCCCCGGGCGCTTCCAGGCCAAGCTGTGGGAGGTCTAGTGCCCGCCTGGGAGGGTGATCACTGGCGCTCAGGCGCTGGGTCCTGGACAGCTGGTGCCCTTGGCTGCCTTGGTTCCTGGGGCTCGGGGCTGGTTTGCTGGCTCATGCTTCAGGGAACATGGCTCTTAAATCCCTCCCACAGGCGACACCCCCTGGTGGGCAGCAGGCACCCCACTTCCTGATACCTAGGTGACCCCCCACTGCCCCGAATGTGCCATGCCTTGAGGGTTGGAGGTCCCATGTATGGGATGTGGAGTGGAGTGCCAGGGAGCCGGAGTGGCTGGCAAAGGCTATGCCCCAGCCTGGCCTGGCTCGGTGGCATTGCTTCAGCCCTAGAATATGGCCCCTACCGTCCTGCAGCAAGGAGTTCCATAGGCCCAGCTCCGGGAATCCTTTAACCTGGTGAGATCCCCTGGCAGGGCCATTGCAGGGCGAGCTGCGCCCCTGGGGAACTGGGGGCAGAGCTGGGAGCCCCATTCACAGGAAGGGGATGGCCTGGCGATGGGGAAGAGATCGGGGTCGATGGCGGCTGGGTCCTCGCACCTCTTGGAGGGGCACGCTCCAGGGGGGCAGGCCAGAGGGATGCCAAAGCCAGCAGCTGAGCGGTGGTGTCTGAGGAGAGCAGGCGATGCCCTTGCTGTGCCAGCTGCTCCAGGCCCGCTTGGGCTACTGGGAGCTGTGGGCAACCCTGGGGTCATACTAACCTGCTGCCAGTGCCTAGCTGGGTGGCTTTTAATCTGCCCTGGGCCCCTCTGGTCCACCTTGGCGACCCCAGCCGACCTGTCCCTTTAGCCCGCTAGAGCTGGCCAGAGGTTCTGGGTCAGGGGCCCAGCCGGGCGAGGGGGTGGGGTGGGGGGCAGACGCGGAGACGGTGAACAGTTCTCAGTTCTCTGCGGAGACGGGGGCTCGGTCCCTGTGGCCTGTTCGGCCTTTGACCTCTCTGCTGAGTCTGCCCAGAACTCATGCCACCCTGGCCCTGTGGGCAGCTGGGCCGAGAAGGTCCTTGTGTGCTGGGGGGCCCAGGGCTGGCTGGGAGCCAGCGATGGCTTTTGGGGGGCATCTGGCTCAAAATGAGCCGATGGCCCCGATCTGCCATACTGGTCCTGACCCGCCCTTATCAGAGGAGGGCAGTTTAGCAAATGGTCTGTTTGGGGGGGGTTCCCCCCTTCATTTCAGCGGGGAAGGGGGAACCACACAGAGGATCTGTGTCCGCTTTCGTCGAGGAAACTGAAAATTTGGAATGTTTTCCCCCGTGAAAACCAAAGGCCGTAGCTTGGCTAGAAGGAACAGCCCCCCTCCTACCCCGCATCACCCAGGCAGAGCCATGGGGCTTGGGCCAACTGGCGAAGTAAAATGAATGGCCACTGGTGGATGTTTCTCGTATTGGCATCAGACCTGGCTTGTGTGCCAGTAGGGGGTCTGGCAGGGGATGCTCTCGTTCTCTGGCCTGGGTCTCAGCCCCCCTGCCTGCCTCCTTATTCGGCTGCTACTTTACGGTTTTCAACTGAGGAAAAAATGTCCTTTTCACTGTCTGTACTTGAACAAAGGAAGGCATGGGCCGGGGGCTCAGGAAGGAGTCTGGGAGCCAGGACTCCTGGGTTCTACCCCAGACTCTGGGAGGGAGTGTAGCCTAGTAGTCCAGACTTGCGGGGGCTGGCCCTGCTGCTGATTGGCTGGGTGACCTCGCTCAAATCACTTGCCCACTCTGTGACTCCATTTCCTGGCTGGGGAGTGGATCCCGGCACCGGCCCCAACCCACTCTGTCGGACAGCACGTAACAGTCGGAGATCCCAAAGCGCATTAGGAGGATGGCATCACTGTCATTTGACAGAGGGGGAAACTGAGGCACAGAGCGAGGCAGTGACTTGCCCAAGGTCACCCTCCCAGCGGTCTGGGGGCCAAACCGGGACGAGAACCCAGGTGTCCTGAGTCCAAGTCCGCTAGGCCATGCTGCCTCCCCACGACAGTTATGATGAGGTGTTGATCAGAAGGTGCCACGTTTCCTGGCAGGCTGCAGAGCCTGGGGCGCTGGGCTGGGTCTGAACACCTGGCGGGGGTGGCACTGTGTTGTGCCGGTGGGGGGGCGTCCTCGGCCCCCGTCCTGCCGCCCCAGAGTCTCTGCTCTGTGCGTTTCAGAACGTCGAGAAGACCCTGATCCGCCCGACGGCTTTCAAGCCAGTGGTGCCCAAGGGCAGGAACTCCTCGCTGCCGGGCTACGTGGTGCCGCGGCCCGGGGTGTCGGCGGTCCCCGAGAGCCAGGCCAGCCTCGCCCACCTCCTGGGCGGCACCGCCGCGGCCAGCGCCGAGAAGCACCACTCCCTGAGCTGCCGCCACAGCGCCCACTCGGGCACCCTGTCGGACTCGGGGCGCAATTCCCTCTCCAGCCTGCCGACCTACAGCACGGGCTGCAGCCAGCCACCGGAGCCGGGCGCCGTCTGCATAGGCCACCTCAGCCTGGACAGTCACGGTGGGTACCCGGAGCGGGGCTCCGGGGGCCTGGCCGGCCCCTCCAACTCGGACAGCGGGCGCTCCTCCTCCAGTAAGAGCACGGGGTCCCTGAGCGGGCGGGGGCCCCCCTCCTCCGACGGCGGCTCCTGCGCCCGCTCACCCGTCGAGGGCGACGAGGCTCTGCTCGTCCGCGAGCTGGAGGAGAAGCTGCGGGAGCGGGAGGCGGAGCTGCGGCACCTGCGCCAGAGTCTGGACGACAACGAGGTGGCCATCTGCCAGGTACCCGGCTCGGCGGGAGAGCCCAGCCCCCCGGGGTCCTGCCACTGTGGGCGGCCGGAGGCGCTGGGTGTGTCCGTGGAGGGCCGGGCATGTGGGGGGGGGCAGTTGGGCTCTGGGAGTGTGCATTTGGGGGTCTGGTGCCTTTGGGGGCGATTGGACACTAGGAGGTGTCTGCTGGGGGGGGGCTGGTGCATGTGGGGGGCAGTTGGGCTCTGGGAGTGTGCATTTGGGGGTCTGGTGCCTTTGGGGGCGATTGGACACTAGGAGGTGTCTGCTGGGGGGGGGGGCTGGTGCATGTGGGGGGCAGTTGGGCTCTGGGAGTGTGCATTTGGGGGTCTGGTGCCTTTGGGGGCGATTGGACACTAGGAGGTGTCTGCTGGGGAGGACTGGTGCATGTGGGGGGCAGTTGGGAAGGATGGACAGGCCAGCTGGTGAGCAGAGAGAGGAGACGTGTGGGGGGGGGGGGGGCAGAGGTGGGGATGGGCTGCATGAGGGACTGGGGGGGTTGGTGTTTGAAGGGCTGTGGTGGGGGAGGGGCAGGAGGCAGGCTGGTGCATTTGCAGCCCAATTGCTGTGAGCGCCCCCTAGGGGTGCGGGCAGTAAATGCCTTCTGCGCTCCGGAGCTCCCCCTGCTGGGGCAGCCGTGCAGCTGGCCAGCCTGGAGCTGCTGTAACCCCGAAAGAGCCACACTGGGGTGCAGGAGCTCCACAGGCCTGGCCTGAGAGTGCCGCTGCTGAGCGTGGGCTCCCCGTGGAGGAAGGCAGGCCGGGTGCAGGTCTCAGGGTTGTCGGTGGGGCCCCATGTTCTCAGTGTGAACAGGCAGCCCATGAAGCCTACAACACCCAGCATGCAGTGCGCAACCTCCTGGGGAGTAGACTTGCCACTGCAATGCATGCTGGGAGCTGTAGTTTTGGTGAGCCACACCGCCATCTGTGCTCAGACCTGGGCGACGCAATGCATGCTGGGAACTGTAGTCTCCTGACCCACATCTCCACATGTGCTTAGGTCTGGGCGACACAATGCATGCTGGGAGCTGTAGTCTCCTGAACCCAATATCCACATGTGCTTAGGGCTGGGCGATGCAATGTATGCTGGGAACTGTAGTCTCCAGAACCCTATCTCCACATGTGCTTAGGTCTGGGTGACGCAATGCATGCTGGGAGCTGTAGTCTCCAGAACCCTATCTCCACATGTGCTTAGGTCTGGGTGACGCAATGCATGCTGGGAGCTGTAGTCTCCAGAACCGTATCTCCACACGTGCTTAGGTCTGGGTGACGCAATGCATGGTGGGAGCTGTAGTCTTCTGAACCACATCTCCACATGTGCTCAGGCCTGGACGATGCAATGCATGCTGGGAGCTGTAGTCTCCCATAACTGCATCTCCACATGTGCTCAGGCCCATGCTGTAGTCTTCTGAACCACATCTCCACATGTGCTCAGGCCTGGACGATGCAATGCATGCTGGGAGCTGTAGTCTCCCATAACTGCATCTCCACATGTGCTCAGGCCCTGGAGATGCAATTCATGGTGGGAGCTGTAGTCTTGGGGAGCCATGTTTCCCCTTGCGCTTAGGCCTGGGCATTTGAATGCATGCTGGGAGCTGTAGTCTCCTGAACCGCATCTCCATATGTGCTCAGGCTTGGGTGACGCAATGCATGCTGGGAGCTGTAGTCGCCCATAATCGCATCTCCGCATGTGCTCAGGCCTGGGCGACGCAATGCATGCTGGGAGCTGTAGTGGGTGCAGGGCACCCCCAGTGTTAGCGGAGGACGGCTGCAATCGGGGGCAGCTCATGGGCTGCGCTGGGTCTGCAGGGCAGAGTCTGGGGGCCGGGGCCGCGCGGGGCCCCCCGGGTGACGCTCTCCCCCCGCCCCAGGTGTACGAGGAGAAGCAGAAGCACTGTGAGCAGGAGATGGAGGAGCTGCGGCAGGGCTACGCCTCCCAGGTCAAGCAGGCGGCGCAGAAGGCCCAGCGCACGCAGCAGGTGCTGCAGCTGCAGATCTTCCAGCTGCAGCAGGAGAAGAAGAAGCTGCAGGAGGACTTTGCCCAGCTGCTGCAGGAGCGCGAGCTGCTGGAGAAGAGGTGCGCCTCCTTCGAGCGCGAGCAGACCGAGCTGGGGCCGCGGCTGGAGGAGACCAAGTGGGAGGTGAGCCGGGACCAGGTGGGACGGGACCCCTGGCTCCAATCCCAGCTGGCCGGGGCCCTTGGAGCCCTGAGGGTGAGACTCGCGGGGCTGTCAGTTCAGCTCCGCCAAGAGAAGGTCGAGGGGCGTACTCGATCCCAGTCTAGAAACACCCACCTGGGGAGCAAATACTCGACGGTGGGCCCTTCGGCCTCGCAGGGCCAGGGCTGATGCCCTTCGATGCCTGGCAGGTGATGCTAGCCAGCCAAAGTGGACGTTTGCACGGGGAGGGTAGTTCACGGTTGGAGCCGTTCCCCCAGGGCTCTGCCGGATTCGCCGTCCCGGGCAGTTTTTAATGATTGCCTCTGTCTGGGAGATCTGCCCTAGGAGCGACTTCGGGGCTGTTCTCTGGCTGGGGTGGAGCAGGCCCAGGAGATGGGGGGCCCTCCAGATAGGGCAGAGGCCAGACCAGCGTAAGGGAGGGTCCCTGGGCAAGACCTGTTGGTATGGGTCTTGCTCTGGCACCTCCCAACAACCAGGAGAACCCGCGGCCTGGGCCGTGCCATGGGGAGGTCTGTAGGCTCCAAAACGCCCCCCCCTCCCCACCCCTTTGCTCCTGGCATCTGGCTGGGCCCCGGCCCCGGGGAGCTCAGACTCGAGGGCTCTCCGAGCAGATCCCCAGCCGCCCATGTGTCCTGCTCCCGTTGGAGAGGGAGCGACCCACTCGCCTCGCCGTCTTGGCAGGCAGTCGCGGGGGGCTGGCGGGGGACGCTCGTTTAGTGGGGTGGGGGTGGGGGGGGGGCTTCTAGTTCTGCAGGCTGCCCCGTCGGGTGCAGAGGGTGCCGGTGCCAAAAGCCGAGCCGCCCCGTTGGGAGGCAGCTGTGGTTCTGGGGGCTGGTTTAGGACGATGTGTCGTTGGCAAACGTGTCGCTTAGGGGCAGGATCCTGGTTCTCGGGGCCACCCCATGGGGGGAAGGGGCGGGGCCTGGCTGGGGCAGCCCCGCGGGCGGGCGGTTCTGGAGGCTGGGGGGACCATTGCCCTTATCGTTGGGGCCTGACCCCCTCCCCCCCCCGCAGGTGTGCCAGAAGTCGGGCGAGATCTCCCTGCTGAAGCAGCAGCTGCGGGAGTCGCAGGTGGGGCTGGCGCAGCGGGGCACCGAGCTGCTGCTGCTGCGGGCCCAGCTGCGGGAGGCGCGGGCGGAGCGGCAGGCGGGCGAGGAGCGGGCGCTGGGGCTGCAGGAGGCGGCCCGCGCCCGGGCGCTGGAGCTGGCCGTGTGCGAGAACGAGCTGCAGCACCACAAGGGCGAGGCCGAGCGGCTGCGGGAGGAGCTGGGCCGGCTGGAGCAGGAGGCGGCGGGGCTGCGGGGGGCACGGCGCCCGCCCCGCTGCCCGGAGCCGCCCGAGCCCAGCCCGCTGCGGGCCAGTGACGAGGCCAAGGCCCAGCGGCAGGCGGCCGAGACGCTGCAGGGCCTGCGGGCCGAGCTGCTCCAGGAGCGCCGGCGTGGCCAGGAGCAGCGGGCCGCCTTCGAGGCCGAGCGACTCACCTGGCAGGGCGAGAAGGAGCAGGTGATCGGCTACCAGAAGCAGCTGCAGCACAACTACGTCCAGATGTACCGGCGCAGCCGGGAGCTGGAGCACCGCCTGTACCGGCTCAGCCTGGAGCTGCAGGCCCCGCGGCTGGACGAGCGCGGCCTGCCCGGGGCCGAGATCTGCTTCGAAGAGATCACTGCCACCGAGATCTGAGCCGGCTGCCTCGGGAGCTGGACCCCGCCCCTTCCGCCGGATGGGCGTTAGCCGGCTGCTTGGGGGGCAGCTGGCATAGGGGCCCTTCCCATGGGGGAAGGGGAGCTGGGCCTGCGGCTGCTGTAGCTGATCCCCTTAGCGCTCGGGAGGGGATTAGCGGCACCCGCTCGTAGCCGGCTGGGGGGGCGCCGGGATCATGCCTCTGCCGTATGGGCCCCGACACCTCTCCTGCCGCGCCCCAGAGCCTCCAGCGAGCTGTGAGGAGGTGGCAGGGCTGCTGGCCTCCCCCGAGCCAAGGCCCCTTGTGCTGGTCACGCCCCCCGCCCGCCCCCCCGGCTGGCTCCGGTGTGGTGGTGGGAATGGGGCTGGGCCGTGGGAGGGAGGCCCCCCTCCGCCTGGGAGAGCCGGGTGCCTCCGTGGCTGCCAGGCTCGCTGGCTGAGCGGGGGCTGGCGCGAACTCCAGGCTCAGCACGTCGCCTGCCAGCCTGCTGTCAGGTGGGGCTCCCCCAGGGGCGGTCTGCGATGCCAGCCCTCCCCCAGCCAGGCCCCTGTTCTGCACCCCCACAGGCTGCGGGTTTGCCCAGTCAGTGCAGGGTCCAGCCCAGGGCTTGGGATCTCTATGCTCCTCTTCGAAAACCGGCTTCCTCCTTTTGTGGGCCTGCTCCCTGCAGAGGCTGTATTGGCAGGCAGGGCAAAGACCGAGTGGGGCACATGCCTTGCGGCTAGAGCTACGCCCTCCAGGTGCCCATTGAGGAGCTAGTGGGCTGTGAGCAGGGCTGCTCTGCCCAGTTCCCCCAGCTCTGCCCTCCGGGTGCAATCCCCATGCCTGGCATCCCCTGCCCACGGCACATTGGGTTCAGCGTTCCCTGCGTCCAGCCCTCTGCTCTGAGGGATCCTGCCCAGGTTGGTTGCCCCTCTGCATTTCAAACACCCGGCTTTGCAGGGTTTCATTTCTGTGCCATTCAAATGTACTCTATTTTTGTAGGGCCTACAGAAAGGTGTCTGGACTTCCTGGGTGCAGTAGCAATTCACTAGCCAGCGTCCATGGTGATTCCGCTCCCCATCGCTCGGCGGGGAGGTCTGCGCACACCCCCGCCCTTTGCCTTGTCTTCCCGTGTGCCCAGCTGTGCCCCCGTCCCGGCGCTCCATTGCCAGGGCCCTGCTGCCCTGTTTTGCTAGCCAGCCCCAGCTCAGGGTGGGACCCTCTGCCCCCATCCCATGCGGGACTGGCCCCAGCTTGGCTTTGCCTTTTGCTTCTGGCCCAGCGTCTGCCTCTGCCTGGCATGTGCTCCCCCAGCCCACTGGGAGCACCTCTACATGCCCCACTCCCGCCCGGCCCAGCACCCATCCCCGTGCCCTCCTGTGGCAAGGCAAAGGCAGCCATGCTGTGGGCGGTGGGCGGGCTGTATGGTGTCTGGTGGGCAGAGGCTGAGCTGTTGCACAGGGCCATGGATCAGCTGCCCCTTTCTCCCTGGCGTGTGCCAGGCTGCTCTGGGAATGGCCCCATGGGCACTACGCAGCCAGGCAGGGACTTTGCTGAGCCAGGCCCTGGGCCTGCCCATGGGGCAGCTGCCCCTTGTGCTGAGCAAGGACCTGGGCACCAGCTCCCTCCAGGGGGGCAGGCTGCTCCAGCCCTTCCTCACTGGGCCCCTTTCCTTACGTTGGGCTGGGCCCCCATCCTGCCCCCGGGTGCCAGCCCTCAAGGCCAGGCTCCTCCTGGGGCCTACTCGTTCCATGGTGATACCAATCCCTAGGCACAGCCCTCACCCAGGAACACGGGGGAAGCTGGAGGGGCAGGGCTGGGGGGCGCCTGCCTAGCTGGAGTGCAGCTGAGGGGCTGGGGCAGCTGCTGTGCCCGGCCTGAGGCCCCCCCCCCCCCAGGATCTGATGTGCCCCGTCTGGCAGCTGCCATCCCACTGGTACTGTCCCCAGCCTGATCTGCCCGTCCCTCCAGCTACAGCCAAAGCCCCTGAAGGGATGTGTGTGCCTGGGGTGGGTGGGGTGCTACATACAATACAGGATTAGATCAAATTATTTAAAAACAGCACCCCCCCCATCAGCCCTGTGGTGCCCAGCTGCCCTGGCACAAAGGGCAGGGTTGGCACTAGACCAAAGGAACATCTGCGCTGTGTCCATCCGCTTGTTACCAAGCCGCACCCCTGCCCCGGGCAGCGCCAGCCGGCGTGGTTTGTTCTGTTTTTTTACTTTATTTCTGACCTTGTCTGGTTCTCAGGCTGTGTAAATTTCTTGTACAAACCGAGAGGAAAGTGCTAATAAAACCCACCCCTCTGTTTTTAAGAGATGTGTGTGTTGGGGGGGGGGGAACGGGCGGATGGGAGGGGGCAGTGTGAGCACCACCCACAGGCCGTCGCCCTACTGTGAGATGCCAGGGGCTGGCCGAACCCGGGTACCTGTAAAGTGCAGGGGGTGCCCCCCCCCCCGTTAACAACCTACAGTGGGAGCCAGCTCATGGAGCGCTCCCGGGGGTGTGTGTGGGGGGCTAGGCTGTATGGGGGTCCTTACACAAGCAGCGTGCTGGAAGCAATGCTCCCCTTCCCTCCCCCAGGCAGGGGAGCGGTAGCAGTAGGAGGGCTTTTAGCCTCTCCCGCGGCCTCCAGCTCGGAGGCTGTGGCTGGGAGCCACCCTGGGCCGCAGTGGCCGGTAAAACACGATGACCTGTCCCCTGCAGGAGGCGGCACGGGGGCAGCGTGGCCATTGCAGCCCCATGGCATGGTAGCCCCCCGCTGCGCCCTCCTGCCCCTGGGGCTGAGTCTCGCCCATGCACCCAAGACCAGTGGGGGTGTCTGCATGTCAGGGGTGCGCCAGGCCCTGCTGCCGGAGCCGCCCCCTCCCCGGGGCCAGGCCTGGCTGAGGCCACCTGGTGCTCTCTGGCAGCGCACTGAGCGGGGGGCCTCTTCTCCCACCCCTGCCAGGCTGCAGTCGGGCTCGTGGGGCTGGATGCCCATAGCCGTGGGCTCTGCCTGTCCTCCCGTGGGCCTGGAAGACGTCCGTCTGGCTGTCCGCTCAGCCCGTCGCTGCCAGCCTGGCACCGTCCCTGGCTGGGCTGCGTCACGCCTTGGACACCTTCACCACCAGCTCCATGGGTGCCTGCCGGTTGGTCCTGTAGGCCTGGCGGATGAGGTCCACCGCCCGCTGGTGGGTGACGTTCTGCAGGCTTGCCCCGTCCACCGCCACCAGCTCGTCCCCAGCCTGGCAAGGCCAGAGAGACAGGGTTGGGAGCCTACAGTGATTGGTCGCCAGCCATGGACATGCAGCCACCTCTGGGGTAGGACACGGCAGCTGTGGCAACAGCACGTAGCAACCCTACACAGTGATGGGGGCCAGGCAGTGACAAAGGGGGGAGGAGTGCAACTACCTTGCACCCTGGGGTTTTATTTGGCTTGGGGGTTGGTTAAGGGCAGGGCTGCTCCCTGGGCTCGGGTAGAAGCAGCCACAGCGGGGAGGATGCAGGGCACTGAGGGCAGGGATGCGCCCCCCCCCCGGCAGGCTGAGGGGTGACAGCCCTGCTGCACCTGGCTCTGGGCTGGAACCCCAGCTCCTCCCTCTGTTACCTGGGGTGCTGGGTGGGGCCCTGGGGACCAGGCTGGGAGCTTGGTGTTCCTGCAGTGGGGGTGGGGGTGGGGTTACTGAACGTCAGGATGCCTGGGTTCTTGGGGAGGGGAGTGGGGGGCCAGGGGTTAGACTCCAAGCCCTCTCTTCCTCTAACCAATAGCCCCCCTCTGCCCCTCCTCCAGCATGCAGACTGGAACCCAGGAGTCCTGGCTCCTGCCTGCTGCCCCTCTATTAACCTGGACGATGTTATCCAGCGCGGCCCCCCCCCGCCCCCCCAAACGCCCTGGGACCTGTCTGAGAAACCGGAGGGGGTGGGGGGCATGGCCTCCTTCAGCATTGCCCACAACTCTGTCTTCCGTGGGACGGCCGTGGGCCTGGTGTCAAGCCAGCTGCCAACTGCTGCTGTGGGGCAGGGCATGGGGGTGGCGGCTGCTGGGTGGGCAGGGCCCCAACAAAGGCTCTTTGTCAGTGCCACAATGGAGGCCGCAGGGGCTGTCCTCCCCCTTCTGCCACCCCCGGGCACAGCCCAGCTTTGCCATGGGTGGGAGGCTAGATCCAGTGACACCAAGCAACAGGCTGTGGGCATACGGCGTCCTGCTGGCCAGGGCCTGACCCCGCTGCCCCCACCCCCAGCTGGAGCAGTCAAGGGCAGGGCAAGCGTGTGGCTTCCCAAGTTGCATGCAGGCAGGGGCAGCTGGCTCTGGGGGGCACCTAGCCCCCTAGTCGGCTGACCATGCCCAAATGCCTACCCAACTCCTCTCCTTGCTAGACCTCCTGGGCCAATCACGCTCACTAGCTCCTGGCTACTTCCCCTTGGGGGTGGGCTAGCCCTGCAGGACCAGTGGAGCTAGACCCTGGCTACCTCCCTGCCAGACTGCTCTGGCCCCACAGGAAGCCCCCTCCCTCCCCCCATCTGGGCTCCAGGATACATCAAGGAGGCTGGTGGCAGGGATGGGGCTAGCTGGTGGGCAGAGCACTGGGCTGGAACGTGGGACAGCTGGGTTCTAAGGGTCTACCACAGCCTGCCTGAGTGTCACTTAATCGTGCCATGCCTCAGTTTCCTCACTGATAGTGGGGGGAGCAGTGACCCTGGGCGGTAGGGAGAATGGCTGTTAGTGCTTTAAAATCTGGAGCTGCAGGGCCCCATCCTGCCCGCTGCTTCCATGGCTCTGGAAGCCTCCAGGCTGGACACATCATTTCAAACACATCTTGCCGCCTTGCGCTTACAAAGAACCCTTCCAAATGTGACCCGAAGGGTAACTGATGCCGGGGTGCCTGCCTGTTTCTGTCGCCAGCCTGAACCAATGGCTCTGGGTGGCCCAAACTGCCCCTGCTCAGGCCAACTGACTGCTAACTCTGAACCCTACTGATGGCAAAAGGCCGCTTTGCATTTCTCGCCCCTGAGCAAAGCACACAAAGGAGAGCGATGCTCCCGCTATGCAGAGCTGTGCCACCCACAGATGTGTGCTTTGCCATCTCGTGGGGGGGGAGGCATGGGCGGAGCATGGGAAAGGTCCACGCTCCTGTGAAAAGTGCTGGTGTCTGAGCCTAGCGCAGGAGAGCAGCTGGGCCTCCGTCATTCAGCTTGTGTGTCCGACTCAGCCCTGGCCAGCGCCGCAGGTACGCGTCCCTCCCCGGACGCCCCCAGGACCCCGTGTCTGCCCAGTGTCTGATCACATAATTGATCTGTGCCGCAGAGAGACCAGCTAACTGCCCCAGGGGTTAGCCCCAGCCGCGGCAGGGAGCCCCCCCCCCACTCCCCGTACCTTCAGGGCCCCGCTCAGGAACGCCGCCCCTCCAGGAAAGATCTTCTCGATCTTCACCATCGGCTGCACCTTGGACTCGATCCCGCCCGAGACGCTGATCCCTGGAAGGCAGGGGTGGACCAGCCCCAGCCTGCCCAGTCGGCCCAGACCCCCTCCCCCCCAAGCTGGCACCATGGACCTGACACCTGTGGGCAGCCTCCAAGGCGTGGCCCGCTTTAGCCACCCCCGACCCTATAGCTGGGATGTGAGGGGTCGGGGGCGGGGTGGTGGTGCCGGAAGGGGATTTCCGATTCCCTAGGGCTAGTGAGCCCAGCCTGGCACCGTGGCAGACTCTGGTACTCCAGCACCATCCCCGGCCCGTGCCCACGCCCCCCACTGCACCCCCCCCAGCTGTGTCTGTGCTAGCAGACAGGGCTGGGTCCCCCTCCCTTTGGCACCTGAAACAGGACAGAGACTCTGGGGTGGGTGGGAGGACGGCTGGTATCTGTATTTAAGGGAGCGCCCACCCCCACCCCCCCAAGCAGATCAGGCTGCTGTTGTGGTAGGCCCTACACAAACACAGAGCAGGCTATGGTGGGCTCAGCTCCCCGGTACCAGGACTGGGCTGGGCCCAACTGTGACCCCTCCCGGGCCAGGCTGGTTTTCAAACTCCCCCGTGACCGGCCCCCACTTCCCTTAGATTCGATGCCATGGCCGGCCCCGGTGCTGGGGTCTGTGAGCACGGAGGTGGGGCTGCAGGTGGTACATAGGGGGCAGGGAGGAGCTGCAGGGAACCCAGGGGTGGGGAGCTCAGGGGGCACGGCGGGGTGCCACTCACCCAAGGACTGCCTGAGCTTGGAGAGGTGGACGGTCATCAGCTCGTACTCCTCCTCGGCCGGGCCGTTGTGGGCCAGCCCCTCTTCTCCCTGGGTCCCTTGGCTGGGCGCCGAGATGCCCGTGAAGACCTGGCAGAGCCGTGGCCGGGCCCGCTGAGGCTTGCTGAGCCCCACATAGAGCGAGTCCCCCCCTGGCTCGGCCTTGCCCTGCCCATCGGGGGAGCTGGGGGTGCGTGGCCGCTCGCTGCCCTGCCCTGGCGGCTGTGCCAATCCCTCTGTGGAGGGGTCAGGACATGGCATGAGCCCCGGGCTCTGGGCAGGCTCCGCCAGCAGCCAGCTGGGCCCACCAGCAGCTGGAGTTGCAGGGGGAATGGGGAGGGCCACGCAGGCGTCCACGGGCACGTCAGGCAGGGGCGTGTAGCCGCGCGGGCGAGTCCGTCGGGAGGAGCCCTTCAGCCACTCCGGCCCTGCCCTCGGCGCCACCCTCTCCTCCTTGGCGCCCCCCGGCTCCGGGGCCTGGAGCGGCTGCAGCAGGAAACCTCCCCGGCGGTCTGCAAAGGAGAGACGGGGCTGTTAGCAACGTGCCGGGGCAGCCCCCCGCCCCATCTCCTCCCAATGGGCCTCTGAGACCCACCCCGGCCCTAGCCCTGCCCTGTCCCCGGCCTCCAAGACCACCCTGTCCCCCGAGAGGCCCCAGCCCTTTCCTGCCCCATGACCTCCGAGCCCCCCGGCCCCCAGTCCTGCCACCCCCCCAGCCCCAGGCTCCAAGTCCCCCATCAGCGGAGAATCAGAGCATGCGGTGACTGCCTGTTGGATCCCGGCCCCAGGACTCCAGCCACCCTCCCAGCCAGCCTCTGGCAGCCCCAGAGCCCTTCCCTGATGTGACCCACAATCCCGTGGGCGCTTGGGGCCAGGTGCGGGAACCACCTGGCTCAGCTGGTGGCCCGTGACTGTCGCCCTCTAGTGGACAGAGCCTGCAGCGTTGCCAGCCCTACATGTGCAGCCAGTGGGGGGGGGGGGGAGAAGAGGCAGCAGGGGGCTGGGTGGGGGGGAAATCTAGCGGGGGGGGGGCAGTACTGACCAGGCACGGGTATGATGAGGTGTCTCCTGGGAGGCATTTCCTGCTGCGCCGGGTGGAGCGTGGGCGATTTCCCTGCAGGCGGGCAGAGAAGCGCCTCAGAGACAAACCGGGCCCTTCGCTCTGGTTCCCGTTGCCCGAGGCTCTGGCTGCTGGCACGGCGCCGCCCCCGAACCAGCCCTACTGCCCACGCAGCGCCAGGCTGCCACCCCCTTTCAGGCCGCGCCTCGCTGGAAAGTTTGGGGCTTCTGCCACCAGCCCAGTGCTGAGTGCAGCTGTGGCCCCCCCGGTCCTCCCGCTCTGCCAGCAGCGCCCTGCCCGACTGGTACTCAGTGGCAGGGCACTGACTCCCCTTTCCCCTGCTAGGCTGGAGCCTGGGCCGTGGAGTGCATGTGGTGAGCATCCAGCCTTGTGCCCGGCTTCAGGGGGGGGCTGCTCCGAGCCGATCGCAGGCCTGCGGCTGGGGTGACGGGCGATGGGACACAGCAGTGGGGGTGCGTTTGCAAGGTTCCCACCCAGCCGGCGGGTTTGGATCCTCACCCGCTGGGCCCATGGTTTCATGGTGCCCAGGGTAAAGAGGGGTTTGTGCCAGGACCCAGGGGCTTTAGGAAGGGGCAGGGCCACGTTCATCACCAGGGGTCATGGAAGACTGGCAACCTGGGATCCCCGAAGCCAGCCCCCAAAAGGAGAGGAGTTGGGAGGCCAGCTGGGCCCAGCCCTCGCGGGGGCTCCCCCTACCTGCTCTGCTCTTCAGGGCGTCATATGCCTCCAGCTCCAGCCGCACGACCATACTGTCGAAGCGGCCCATGTCGGTGGAGGTGACCAGGCTCCTGCAAGGGGCAAGCTCTTAGTGCCCAAGTGACTGCCACTGAAATGCAGCCACCTCTGGGGCAGAACGTGGCCGCTGCTTAACAGCACACAGCAACATGAGGTGACAGCTGAGGGCAGAAGCATCCCAGATTCAATTGCAATAATGGGGGTGATTCTAGGGAACCCAATGTAGTTACCCAGCCAGGATCTGCCCAGGACGTCACCTCTACGCTCACTGTGAAAACTGCCATGAATGGAGGGACATGAGGGATCAGGGGCTTGGACCCAGCCCAGAGCAGCACAGAACCCCCTAGCACCATTGTCTCAGTACCTAGTCAGAGGCAAGAGTGCCTGCTAGGGCCCTGCCTGCATCATGCGCTCTAGCCCCCCTGGAAATGCATGGACCTCGAGCCGACGTCCCACCGGGGCCACAGGGCTCAGGGCTGAGCTAGTTAATCTAACTGCTGAGCAGGGGTAAATCCAGCCCTGGTGAAACCAGCAGCCCCGGCTGTGTGGGATTGGGCCTGCGAGGCAGGGTGCAGTGTGAGGCCGGAGTGAGGAGACAGTCCGAGCTGGAATGGAAAGTCTAGGAGAAGGAGGAGCTGGGAGGCCAGGAGTGCAGAGCAAGCGGTGGGAGCCGTTCACCATCCCGGGGCACAGAGGGAAGAGGTGCTAAGGGCCAGGATCAGGAGCCAAATCCTGCTCCTGAGGCTGGGGGAACCTGCAGGGACCCCAGGGAGTTAAAGGAGCTGCCGGCCGCTCAGGGCCGAGTTCAGAATCTGGGCCGCGCAGCCTCCCTGTCCTGTCTCGCAACCTGCCACAAGAGCCTTCTCCCTCACAGCATGTGTGCTGTTTGATTGCAGAATAAAAGCCCCGACTGAGACAGGACCCGGATGGCGCCACGGGCAACCACTGGGCCTGTGACCCCAGCGCGCCCCATCTCCAGCCTCATACTTCTTGACATATTTCTTGACACCTTAAATGACTGTTTCTTGGAGCAGCTGGTCCTGGAACCCACAACAGTAGATGCAATTCTTGATTTAGTCCTAAGTGGAGCACAGGATCTGGTCCAAGAAGTGAATATAGCTGGACCCCCTGGCAATAGTGACCACATTATAATTAAATTTAATATCCCTGTGGCAGGAAAAACCCCACAGTGGCCCAACACGGTAGCATTGAATTTCAGAAAGGGGAACTACACAAAAATGAGGAAGTTAGTGAATCAGAAATTAAAAGGTACAGCGCCAAAAGTGAAATCCCTGTAAGCTGCATGGAAATTTTTTTAAGACACCATAATAGAGGCTGAACTTAAATATATCCGCCAAATTAAAAAACATCGTAAAAGAACCAAAAAAGTGCCACTGTGGCTAAACAACAAAATAAAAGAAGCAGTGAGAAGCAAAAAGGCATCTCTTAAAAAGTGGAAGTTAAATCTTAGTGAGGAAAATAGGAAGGAGCATAAACTCTGGCAAAGGAAGCGTAAAAATATAATTAGGAAGGTCAAAAAAGAATTTGAAGAACAGCTAGCCAAAGACTCAAAAAGTAATAGCAAATTTTTTTGAAGTACGTCAGAAGCAGGAAGCTGCTAACCAACCAGTGGGGCCACTGGACGATCAAGATGCTAAAGGAGCACGTAACTATTTGTCCCCATAACGAGTGGCACTGGTGGGGATACTGGGAAACTGGGGTGTCTAAGGGAATTGCTTGTGTGACTTGTGGTTAGCCAGTGGGGTAAAACCAAAGTCCTCTCTGTCTGGCTGGTTTGGTTTGCCTCGGTGTGCATAGAAATCCCAGCCTTGGGCTGTGACTGCCCTGCTTGAAGCAATTTGTCCTGAATTGGCACTTTCAGTGGGGTCCCGCCAGAACCAGCCTCGTTACAGGGGGATAAATTGGTTAGTCTCTAAGGTGCCACAAGTCCTCCTTTTCTTAGTGGATAGAGCGTACTTAGATTTTCAGAATGGCTTTGACGAGGTCCCTCACCAAAGTCTCTTAAGCAAAGTAAGCTGCCATGGGGTAGGAGGGAAGGTCCTCTTGTGTACTGGTAACTGGTTAAAAGATAGGAAACACAGGGTAGGAATAAATGGTCAGTTTTCAGACTGGAGAGAGGTAAATAGTGGTGTCCCCCAGGGTCTGTCCTGGGCCCAGTCCTATTCAGCATATTCATAAATGATCTGGAGAAAGGGGTAGACAGCGAGGTGGCAAAGTTTGCAGATGATACAAAACTACTCAAGGTAGTTAAGTCCCAGGCAGACTGCGAAGATCTACAAAGGGATCTCACAAACCTGGGTGACTGGGCAACAAAATGGCAGATGAAATTCAATGTTGATAAATGCAAAGTGATGCACATTGGAAAACATCATCCCAATTATACATGTAAAATGATGGGGTCTAAATTAGCTGTTACCGCTCAGGAAAGAGACCTTTGAGTCCTTGTGGGTAGTTCTCTGAAAACATCCACTCAGTGTGCAGCGGCCGTCAAAAAGGTGAGCAGAATGTTGGGAATCGTTAGGAAAGGGATAGATAACAAGACAGAAAATATCATATTGCCTCTATATAAATCCATGGGACGCCCACAGCTTGGATGCTGCGTGTAGATGTGGTCGCCCCATCTCAGAAAAGATATACTGGAATTGGAAAAGGTTCAGAAAAGGGCAACAAAAATTAGTAGAAAGAACAGGAGGACTTGTGGCACCTTAGAGACTAACAAATGTATTTGAGCATAAGCTGTAGCCCACGAAAGCTCATGCTCAAATAAATTGGTTAGTCTCTAAGGTGCCACAAGTCCTACTTTTCTTTTTGCGAATACAGACTAACACGGCTGCTACTCTGACACCTGTCAAAAATGATTAGGGGTCTGGAAAGGCTGCCGTATGAGGAGTGGTTAATAAGACTGGGACTTTTCAGCTTGGAAAAGAGACCACTAAGGGGGGATATGACTGAGGTCTATAAAATCATGACTGGTGTGGAGAAAATAAAGAAGGAAGTGTTATTTATTCCTTCTCATAATACAAGAACCAGGGGTCACCAAATGAAATTAATAGGCAGCAGGTTTAAAACAAACAAAAGGAAGTATTTCTTCACACAACACACAGTCAACCTGTGGAACTCCTTGCCAGAGGATGTCGTGAAGGCCAAGACTATAGCAGGGTTCAAAAAAGAACTAGATAAGTTCATGGAGGATAGGTCCATCAATGGCTATTAGCCAGGATGGGCAGGGATGGTGTCCTTAGCCTCTGTTTGCCAGAAGCTGGGAATGAGCGACAGGGGAGGGATCACTTGATGATTCCCTGTTCTGTTCATTCCCTCTGGGGCACCTGGCATTAGCCACTGTCGGCAGACAGGATACGGGGCTAGATGGACCTTTGGTCTGACCCAGTATGGCCGTTCTTATACCCCCAGGCACAGGGGCCTGTTTCTCTGTCCCTTGGGACATGCCCCACGGAAAGCAGCACAGAGGGAACCCTCCATCCCAGCATCGTTCACCCACCTGACATCCCTCAGAAGCAGGAGTTTCTCAGGCCGGTCCAGGATGGCCAGGAGTGGCCTCACCAAGTCCTCCACCCCACCTTCATGGACATACTGCAGGCAAAGGACAGGCAGCGTCAGACGGGCCCCTTCGCTGGCCAGAGCCCAGAGCACCAGGCAGTGCTTAGCCAGCGCCAAAATGCAGCCAAATCTGGGGGGGGCGGGGACGCAGGCAGGGTTTCACAGCACCCAGCAACAAGCTGGAACTGCTCTGAAGAGGAAATAATGATTTCTCCCAGGGGTGGGGGTGGGGGGGGGGGAGGCAGAACCTGATCATCCCCCTGCTGGCATTTGGCCAGGACCCTCGGGCTTTCATGTGGGGCCAGGGCCGGCTCACAGGGACGAGTTACTCCCTCCACTTTAAATCACTTCCCTGCCCTTAATGCAGATTAACAGCGCCAGTGAGAACAGGATCCGGTCCCAGGTCAAGCAGTGAGCACAAGGGGCAGGGCCCTGCCCTCCAGGCAGCGCCTGCTGGTGCTGCGGCTCGGTACTGACGCGGGGGGCCAGCGCTGCTGGCTGGCTCACTGGCAGCTGTTCCTGCTTAGCCCGGGAGAGCCAAGGGCCGGGGTGCGGGGCAAGCTGGGGGCTGGGCGGCGAGGGGCCTGGGGAGGAGACGGTAGCTCCCGTGCAATGGGCTAGTTCTACCCAGCACAGCTGGGGAGGCTGCCAGGACTCTCCCCCCCTCCCCATCACCCCATTGCCCAGGGGTCAGGATTAGACCCCCTGGCCAGCGCTCAGACCAGCCACGCCCCGTCCCAGCCAGAGGCTGGCTGCTGCCCCATGCCGGGAGTGGGAAAGCGGCACGGGTCTGGCTGTGACGCCCTGGCAGAGGGGGCGCCGGGGGCCAGGGGTTTGCCACAAGAGAGCCAGGGGGCTTTGTTATGAGAGGCCCCTGGGAAAAGGTTTCCTGGCCAGGAAACTCCTCCAAAAGGGGGCACTGGGGTGGCCAGGCATCCCCGATGGGGTGGGGAGGGGGCACAAGTGAAGCAGCAGAACTGGTTTGGTTTATGACCCGGATTTGAATCGGGACTAAACCCTTGTTACCAGTGAGGTGCAGGAGAGTGGGATCTAGGGGCTAGAATTGGGGTGTGGGAGCCAGGAACACAGGGCTCTGCTTGTGACCTGGTGCCAGTCCCTGCCCCCGTGCCTCAGTTTCCCCTGCTATCTGATGGAGCTAATGACACCTGCTCTCCTCCCTGAGGCACTGGTGGGGCTGGGGTGAGCCAGAGGCTGGCCTCACTTTGACCCTGTCCCTGCCAGATGGTGGGTGAACCTGCGGAAAAGGGGGGTCTCTACCTATGGAACAAGAGTCCCCCTCCTGGGTGGCCTAGTGGAGATGCCCAGGGGTGGGGGTTGCAAGGGGTTAATCTGGATTCTGTCTGGGTCCAGCCCTTCTCCGTGAAGGGGGGAGGGGCAATGGGGTTGGGGTGAGCAATTGGGCAGGGGTGGGGGGCTGAGCTCTCAAGGACACACGGGCAGGCTCCGAGCGGCATCTAGTGTTCACTAGAGACACCAGCACCTAGCAGGCCCCGGGGTCAGCGTGTGCCCAGGCTCCCTGGCTGCAGGGATGGGTCTGTGGGGGGCACTAGGGGGAAGGCTGCCAGGGCACAGCGGGAGGTAGCGCCGCCCTGGACATGTCCTTCTCTAGCACTTTCATCCCTGCACGCAGCCACGAGCAAAGCCAGGCACCGTCCCCGAGGAGAGATCCAGATGGGGAAACCGAGGCACGGAGGGGGTGACCCGTTAACGCAGAGGCGGGGACGGAGCTGGGAGAACTCAGCTCTCCCACTGCACAGCGGAGCATGGGGGGGGTGGGCACAGGGTGGCGAGCCAAGGAAACAGGCCCCGGAACCGAGTCCAGAGCCCTCGCCGGGCTGGGAGAAGCAGCAGCCCGGGCGCATGCCCACACTCCTTACCCGGCTGCAGTGACGCAGCACGGCCGTGACCTCGTCCTCCGTCAGCAGCTTCCCGGCCACGTCCCGGAGAAGCAGGAGGTGGCTCTCAGCGGCTGGGCTGGGCTCACGGGTGGCACGCCCCGGGGAGCCCAGGATGCTGACGGGGCGGCCTTTGTCTGGGGAGCAGCAAAGCAGGGTGAGCGCAGGGCCGCTGGGGCGGTGATGGGAGGCCAGGGAGCTCCAGAGAGGTGGCCCTCACCTGAGCCCAGGTCGTGGCCCCCTGGCTGTGTAGGTTCCTTCCCCTCCCAGGGGCTCAGCAGCAGGGCTGGGACCAGCCCCTCCCACTGCACAGCCGGGACAGACTCCACTAGCTGGGAGCAGTAGTAGGTTGTTCTCCTCCAGGTGCCCGCTGCCAGAGGGGACTGTGGCACGCTCAGCGAGTGGGTTACCCAGGTAGCTGCGCGTACAGCTCATGGATCGGACCCCTGGCCAGCTGTGGGCGCCCCATTTGCGCACACAGCTGTGTACACGCTTTTGCAAAGACGTGCCCCGATGGCCCTGATCAACCCCTGCTCCTGATTCATCAGCCAGTCCCTCCCTGTCCCCACCCACCTCCGCAATTCTCCTTCCCACCCCACAGGCCTGGCCAGGGCCGACTCCTCACTGGAGCTCATCAGCTGGGAGCCAAACAGGGGCAGCGTTGGAAACGGAGAGACTCTGCAGACCCGGGGGCTCTGGGCACTCCCAGTGGGGCCGCAGGGGGCTGGGCTCCGTCTGCCGGGTCCCGAACCAGGCACCCCGAGCCCAGCCCACATGGCAACGGCCCAAGATCAGCTAAAGCCAGAGCCAAAGAGCAGCGGCTGAGCGCAGCATCCTGGTGAGGGCCCCACTGGGTAATCAGCCTCCGCACCCCATGGCCCCAGTGTCGGGGGCTACGGATCTACCAGGAGCAGCCCAGCGCGGCGTCCCCGGACTGGCCATGGTACAGATGAGATGCCCCCTGCCTTCAAATCAGGGGTGCCTAACGGCCTCTCCCCCAAATCCTCCGGGGGATCCAATCTCCTCCGGCCACAGGCACCAGGGAAAGGAAGGGGGCCGGGTCTCTCCAGGACAGCCAGTGGGGAGGCAAATGGCACACGCAGCAGCACAGGCCTGCACACATGCATGCACACACATCGGCACTCGCATGCACACGCGTGCCATCATACGTTTGCACACGCGTGCATTGCAGTTACCCCGCTTCGGGCTCCGGCTGACAAGTTTCTGCAGGGCGCTGGCTGCAGGCGGAAAGCAGAGGGCAAAACCAGCACACCAGGTGATTCGCCAGCAGCCCTGGGGAGCCAGGGGTTAATGCCCTGCGGGGTCTGGGCCATCTCCCCTGGGGTTCAGTGGGTGAGCTGGTGCCAGCAGCCTTGAGGCTGCGACTGCCTCCCACAGCTCGGGGGGTGGGCAGGCGGTGTGCCAGGCAGGACAGCGGTTCGCAGTTAAGGACTGGGAATCAGGAGACCTGGGGTCGACCCCTGACTCTGCCACAGGCCACCGGTGACCCTGGGCAAGTCACTTCACCTTTCAGGGCCTCGACAATCTCAGCTGCAAGAGGAGGGGTTGCACAGGCTGGCAGCTCTGGGGGCAGAGCCCATCTCCCTGGGTGTGTGTGTGGGGGAGCAGGTCCCTTTCTCCCTGGGCACGGAGGAGAGGGGGCAGGGGCCATCTCTTCCTGGGCCCCAGGCAAGGCAACACCAAGCAATCAAAATTCATGTGATTTAAAATAATAAATTCCCTGGGGGAATCGCCATGGGGCCAGACCCACCCCCGTCGGGGAGCAGGGAATCCTCATGCATGCCTCCCCGCCCCAGGAGCAGAGCTGGGCACGTCCCTCCCACACATCCCTGGAGCCATTCCAGCCCCCACCCCCAACACAGCCTCGCCACCCCCGCCCAGGTGTCCCAGCGCCCTTTACCTTTCCCCCCCTCCGGGCTGGCCGGGGACCTGGCCCGTCTCCTGCGCCCTGGCGGCCCAGCCCCCTCGCTGCCCGGTGCCCAGCTCTGCCTCGCCCGGCTGCCTCGGAAGAAGAGGTTGGCGAGGGTCTTGGAGCGCCGCAGTCCGGCCTTGTCCCCGGCGGGCGCTGGCGGCTCCTGCCTCTTCTCTGGTGCCAGGAAGAGAGCCACCGATCAGACCCGGGGCCAGGCGGGAGCAGCGGCTCGGAGCCAAGCACGTCTCACCCTGGCCCCCTCGGGCACCGCTGGGCATTGGATCTGGGCCCCGACCCCAGCCTGGGTTTGCCAGGCGACCACCACAGAGCACAGTCATCTCCACTGTGCCAACCCCCTGCCTTCCCAGCACCCGCCCTCCTCGTCTTCTCCTGGCTGGGCCCAGCCCCATCTCCCACCCGTGCTCCCCGGAACTTCCTTCTCCTGCCCTGCATGCCAGACGCTGCTGCCGAGTTCTCTGCACCCCTAGGCAGGACGGCGCCCTGCTTGGGCATCCCGCACCGCTCCCCTTGCAAGGGGTGCGTGCCCCCCATCCCACCGCGAGCTGCCCAGGGATCACGGCGCCCAGCTCACCCAGCCCCCCGGGCCAGGCTGGGTGTTACAGACAGGGACAGTCGGGGGGGCAGGTTGGCTGCTGGACCTGCAGCTCCCCTCTACCCTGCGTGGCTGTAGGAGTTGGGGCGTTGAACACTCCGATACACAATCTCCTCCGGGCCTGGACATAGGGGAAGGAGCTGGGTCGGACCCCCGGACAGCTCGAGGCCCCCCTCGCTGCGGGGCAGGGGAAGCGGAAGCTCAGTTCAGACACCCGGGATGTCACCATCTGAAAGTGGGGAGTCAGGACCAGCTAATTCCCCGCCCGGGGGCAGGGCCACTGGAAATGAGAGGAACCTGCCTGGAATACACAGCAGGGAGGGTGCTGCTCTCCGCGCCAGGCAGGCAGAGGGCACCTGCTTTCCGGGCTGGGCTGACTCCCCCATGTCTGGCTGGGCCCGAGTCCCCCTGTGAGGCGGAGTCGCACCTCCGGACACAGGGGGCCGGCTGCTCCCCTGGACAGAGTCAAGGCTCCAGCACGGGACGAGGAGCTAAGGGGGCTGGGGGGCAGGAGAGGAGAGCCCAGCGTGTGGGGAATTCAGGTGCTCCCTGGGGGCTGGGGGACAGCAGGTCGGGCATCAGTAGAGCTCTGGGGGTGTGTGGGGGCGTGGATCACAGGGCTGGGCTAGCAGGGGCTGCGGGTCAGGAGTGAGGGGCCCTGGCAGAGCTGTGTGGTGGGGGCCGGGAGTGGGGGGCCCAGGGGGGGGGATTGGGGGTGGAGGTGGGGATGGGGTGGGGACTGCAGAGCTGGGTAGCAGGGGGCTGCAGGTCGGGATTGAGGGGCATTGGCAGAGCTGGGAATGGGGGGAGGGAGGGGGAGGGGATTGAGGGGCCTTTGCAGAGCTGGGGAATGGGGGGGCCCAGGGCTGGTCTAGCAGGGGGCTGCAGGTCAGGATTGAGGGGCATTGGCAGAGCTGGGAAATGGGGGGGCCCAGGGCTGGGCTAGCAGGGGGCTGCAGGTCGGGATTGAGGGGCACTGGCAGAGCTGGGGAATGGGGGGGCCCAGGGCTGGGCTAGCAGGGGGCTGCAGGTCGGGATTGAGGGGCACCAGTATGTGCAGACAGGGGGAGCCCATTCAGCTCATGCTCTGGCCAGTCCCGGCACCAGCACCTACCGCCCACGGTGAGGTAGCTCTGGGATCTCTTGAGGGGCTGCTGTGGGCGGCTCAGCGCCAGGAGCAGGGCCATCCAGGGCGAGTCCGAGAGCTCCTTGTTGGAGAAGGGTCTGTGCTTCTTGCTGGGGAGCGGGTCCCGGAAACTCTTGGCCCGGATGGCCGTGTCCTTCAGGATCTCCGGCGGGTGGACGGTGCGCCAGGTCTCAGTCCCCGCAGTCCCGTCACCGGAAGGGGGCAGGTCCGTCTGCATGGCTGTCTCCACTCGCTCCAGGGAGCGGCTGCATGCCGGAGGGTCCTCCATGGAGATGGAGACGTCCACCATGTGGGCTGGGGCGGGGCTGGAGAGCGGGGTCTGGGGCCGCCCGTCCAGGGAGCTGAGCAGGGTCCCCGAGGAGTAGGAGGAGATGGAGGAGCTGGTCTCCGAGGCCTGCGAGAGCTGCTGCAGTTGGCCATTGGTCACTGGGAAGAGATGAAGGGATGAGAATCCATGGGGAGGGAAGGAGCCACCACCAGCCTTGGCCCCTGGGATCTCACAGCGTCTGTCTGGGCCCTGTGGAACTTCATAGCCCGGTGGGTGTGGAACCCAGGCCCTGAGCTGGAGCTGCAGGAGAACCACCAGAGATGCTAGCTATGTACATGTTAGTGTGCCCCTACTACCCAGCTATGTGTCACAGGCCCTGTACTGCTGGTAGGTAATGAAGATTCCCCATGAGCTCTCATGGCCAGGAGCGCACGCTCTTGGGAGCAGCCAGATCTGGGCGGTTGTGGAGTGCAGCATAGTGACCTCTGGACAGTGCCAGCCGGCCAAAGATTGGTGGCACCCCTAGGCACCAACACTGCACCTGTGCCCGTGAATCTCAAGGCCCGTTCCAGGAGTGACCGGGTGGTGCTGTCATCTAAACGCAGCTGGGTCACTAAGCCCTCAGCAGGCACTTCCCGAGGTCACGTGGCGAGGAAGGGTCAGACCCCGGAACAGGACCCAGGTGTCCGGGCTCCCAGCCCTATGCTCGCTCAGCGAGACAGGACAGCACTGGAGTCTCATTATGATTCCCAGCGGCCGCGGAACTTGCCCCCAGCCGACCCGCTCTAAGCAGGGATGTCCCGGGGGGGCTTCGAGGGGGGCTTTCTTACACTGACTGAGCCAGCAGTATTCGGCCACCATCTCCTTGTAGGCAGGGAAGTGGCCCGTCTCCTAGACGTGGAGGGAAGGATGAGGGTTAGCGTGTAACCGGCTGCCCCGGGCAGCGTCTTCGAGATGAACCCGATCTGCGCGCCGGAGCCTGCCATGAATAATGCAGCCGCCTGCCAGCGCCTAGCTGGGTTGAAACTGGATCTGCCCAAGAATGAGGCCCGCGCCCCGGCTTGGGCACCAGCCAGGAGCTCCCCAGAGCTGCCTACGTCAGGGGAACGCCGAGCAGCCACCAGCGCCGGGCGGGGGAGAAGCAGAGTGACTGCTCCATGCCCCGGGAAGGGCCTTCGGGCTGGGAGTCACCAGAGTCCCTCTCGTGGCAACGTGCCAAGTGCCCAGACCATGAGGGGCTTCTCCAGGGTGGCACGGTCCCGCCTCCCCCTCCTGGGGCCGGTCGTGGCCTGGGGTGTGAGCCCAACGCTGCCCAGCCCAGAGCCCCAGGTCCTACCTGGATGGTCAGCATGATGTGTGTCTGCCCCTTTAGCACTTCCACTGCCTTGCTATGGCTGATGGCGTCGAACTTGACTCCGTTGGCTGCAAGGACTTGATCTCCCACTCTGATCCCGTTCTGCTCCGCCAGCCCGCCAGGATCGACCCTGGAATGACCCACGTCAGGCAGCCGGTGGCTCTCAGCCCCCTGGATGGGGAGGCCCCCCGAGCCCAGTTCATCTCCCTAAGGGGCGCACAACCCACCGCTGGGGACACGTGAAACCGGACTGGGGTGATCAACTCAAGGGCCTGAATCCACACTGGACGGGCTGCCCAGCCTGCTAGATCCTGCCCCATCGCCAGGGCTGGGACAAACCCTGCTTCTAGCCAAGTGATATCTCCAGACAAAACCATGTGACATCCCCTGATCCCCACATCTGAACCTTCCCAGCCGGGTGCGGGTCCAGCTGTTTCTTGTCATCAGCTGGGAGATGCTCTGGCTGAGTTGCTGGGCCCTAGCTGGGTGTCTAGCTCTGGCTGCTCCTTGCCCCATGCTCCCTGGCTTGGTGGGGCTGAGTCTGCCCTTGGATGGAGGAGGGGGGCGCTCTCTGGCCCTGGCTCTGCCTGCTGCCCCCTGACTGGAGGGGGTTTCTGGCATAGTGGGACCAAACCTCCGCGGAGGTCTCCATTCACCCCCTAGGGCTTTGCTCACCATCCTTTGGACAAGGGCGATTTTTGCCAAGCTCAGAAAGAAGTCAGGTGCGTAACCCCCCGCAGCGTGGGACCCGTCGCCTGGCATTTCAGAGGCCACTGCTGGGAATCTGGCCTCGGTCGGCGCTTTGCCGGGGAAGGGACAGAGAGACTGTAAACCTTTAACACATCACCCGGACAGAAGAAACACTGGAGATCCCATGTGTCCCTTTGGACAGCGTTTCTTCGCTTTGGAAAGGTGGAGACGTTTCAGCAAGGAACCTGCTGACTTATTCTTAGGGATGGGGCAGGGCAAACCCCCCCGGAGCACTGCAGGCGAAAACGAATCCCGTGGGGATCCATGCTAGGGATGGAAACGGCCTGTAAGCAGGACCCAGAAAATCCCGCAGGCTCCTACATAAGAACTTGCTCCTGCAAATGCACGGGATGGGCTCGTCACATGGGTGCAGAGCTGCTCAGCTCAGAGTCCTGGGGCAGCAAAGTAGGTCCAGCCCCAGCCTTAACTCCACCCGCTTCGGGGGGGGGATATTCACCATCCAGTGATCTGATGGGCGGAGCATTCTGAGGCCTGGATCCAGCAGTCCCAGTGGTCAGCTGGCTCTTTGCTGTCATGTAGCCTGGAGACTACAACTCCCAGCAAACCTTGGTCTTAAAGGGCCACCTACCCCACACATGCGCTGGCTGTACCTGCCCTAAGCCGCTTTGTAACGGAGTTAATTAGATTTGCAGCTGCCCCCCACTCCCAGGGCTCCATAAGCAGTAAGGGGCTTCTCCTCCAGAAGATCTCAGACACGGGAGGCCCCACAGGACGCTCTGCCGGGTGCTCAGGACACGGTGTGGCTAGTGGGTGCCAGGCGCCGAGCGAAGCTGCTGGGGCCCAAGGTACCTGGAGACGTAGATGCCAAGGCCGAACTCCTTCCCCCCGCGGATGTTGAAGCCCAGACAGTAGTCGTCGGAGGTGGTGTAGAGGTGGACCATGCGTCTCACGCCGCCCTCGGAGCTGCTGTCCGACGGGGTCGACCCGCTCTTCTCCACGATCAGGCGCCTGTTCGCGACATCCACCCTGCCACGAGAGCAACCGCGGCAAGATTCAAACAGGGGCCCGAAATCCCGGGGCTGGCTCTGGCACGACTTGGGCCCCAGGGTACGTCTACACGGAGAACCCTACAGCAGTCCAGCTGCAGTGCGTTAGTCCAGACGCTACAGACGGGAGGGGTTCTCCGCTCACCGGAGCAAATCCACCTGCCTGAGAGCCGGTCGCTGGGTCAACAGAAGAATTCTTCCCTTTACCTAGTGCTGTCTACACAGGGATGTATGTTGGCTTAACAACGTTGCTCGGGGGTGGGGGGTGTATGTGGATTTTTTGCACGTGGCTGGCTCAATCTCATTCTCCAGGGTAGCCCAGCCCCCAGTCTCACAGAGCTGCTCTCCAACGGTGGCAATCTCATGACGTCAGACAACCTGCTGGAACGTCCACCGTGGGAACGGCAGAAATCTCATGAGATTGGCTCTTTCTCCAGCCACTTTGGGCCCCTGCTGAGGTTCTGGCTGCATCCAAACCGGAAAACAGTTGTTTGGATACAGGCCCAAAGCCGGGATGGTCAGAAGTGCCCGACTCTAAACGAACGCCAGTGGGAACTGGCTGCCGGCTTTGAAAAATCTTCCCCCAGACCCAGGCTGGGAGCGGGTGGTTCAAATCAGACTCCCCCTGGGAACTGCAGGGGGCATGGATCTGTGGGTCCAGTTTTGACCTCTCTCTAGCTTTGATGCTACGTATAGAGGGAAATCTCACCTGCCCGGAACCTGAACTGCAAATATTTGGAGGTTTGGAAAAGGTGGAGGAATTTTTCATTCCCATGGTGGGACCCTGTCCCCCTTCTGGCTGGTAGATGGGACCCCACGAGAGAGGCTGTCCTGAAGGTTTGACCTCTCCCGAGGGAGCCTGCCCATGAGTTTCCAGGCCAGGGGACTCTGCTAGATCAGGGAAGTTTAGGATCAGAATCCAAACTTTCAGGAGCGAATCCAACCCCCGTCTCCAAACCCACTAAGATTCTGCCCTTGCACAGCTCCTGAAGCCTGCCTTGCTCCCCAACAGCTAACAGGGCAGAGTCAGAGACCACGGTGATAGGCACAGCACAGGAATCTGGCAAGAATCCAGTGTTCCTCTTCTCAAAAGACCCCTGCGGGGATCGAACCCACGACCTCTAGATCACGAAACAGGCATCTTTACAGGACAAGCTAAGGAAGCCAGGCTCTGCCGGCTGATTCGACCCTAGAACTGTTGGGGGTGAGATTTGGAAAACCCCGAAAATGAACAAACCAGTCTCTCAAACATTTAGCCCTTGCGTCTCACCGAGCTCCGCCACGGCCCCTGAACGCCCACCTCAGTTCCAGCCCACCATGAAGCTGTGCCAACCCAGTCTGGGCTCTCCCTGCACATCTCTGCCGGTGCCCCTCAATCCCGGCTCAGAGCCCCCCCGCAATCGCCCCGGCCCCCTGCCAACCTAGAGCCCTGCCAGTATTCCTCAACCCTTCCCCCGCTATTCCATTCCCCGCCCTCGACCCCAGGGTGCCCAGCGTGCAGATCTGTGTGAGGCGGACAAACAAGGGCCCAGCATGTGTCCCTGGGACACCCAGTTCCCTGAGGGCCCAGTGCAGGATTCAAACCCACCCTCCGGAGGGGACCGCTGAGCGCACTAACCCCATGGGGCACCGAGTCCCGAGTTCGCTCCAATGTGCTCTCCCGGCTTCTCGTGAACCCGAGAGCTCCCTCTCTGCTCAGAGGAATGCGGCTTTGGCCCACCCGCATCAGACACTGGGACGGGCCAAGGATCGCGGCACGGTGTAGGCAGTGAGCGCGCCTCTGCTTACCACGTGGTCTTTTCTCGGGAGAATTTAATCCCTGGCACCTTTCCCATGCGCCTCACCATCATCCGCAGCCGGTTGTTCCCAGTCAAGACCTTGACGGCACTCCCCATGGTGATGCTCTCCAAGCTCACGCTGTTCACCTCCGTGATTTTGTCTCCGATGCACAGGCCGGCCAGGTCTGCAACGTTAAATGGAGACCCCTGAGAGCAGACTGAGAGAAGGCGGCTGGGCTGCGTGGGACGGGGGAGCGAAAAGCTGGAGGGTGGCAAATTCTCAGCTCAGCAGCAGCCAGATCTGGCCTGGTGTGCTGTAGCAAACACCTCGACCTGGAACGATCAGGTGGGGACTCAGCCTCCAACCCTGGGATTGGAAGGTCATGGCCGTGTGGCGTGGGGGAGAGCAGTTTCCTTGATGTCATGCACGCTCCTGCTTCCCTCACCAAATTTCCACCAGCAATGACCACGGCCACAGGTCTCAGGTACTTACCCGGCCCCCCTCTCTGCAGTATCACAACCTCTAATGCGTTCAGCCTCCCTACAGGCCTGCGAGGTGGAAACTGTCCATTGTCACTGTCCAGACAGAGGCTAAGTGACTTGCCCAAGGTCATGCAGGAAGCCTGTGGCAGACACCAGGAAACAGAACCCGCAGCTTCTATCTACTCGGGCTGGCGCTCTGGCCATTGGGCCAGGCTTCCTCCAGGGTCACAGGAAAAGGCTCTGGCACTAAGTAGCTGGCCTGGCCCTGGCCTGTTGCTGAGACCAGACACATGAGCACCTCCAGGCTACTGGGGCGTCATGTTTTGACCCTGCCCAAAGGGGAAGCTAAGATTTTCAGCACCTTTCCTCAAGCTAATTCCAACAACGATTAACGAGCACCGAACCCGACGCCGCCAGGAACTGGAACCGAGCCTGGGTGTTCTTATTTCTGACGACAGCGTGTTATTCGGACAGCCTCTGCCCGCATTGGATCGCTCTGGTGCTTGCAGAGTTACAGGGGACTAGGATGACCAGACAGCAAGTGTGAAAAATCGGGACAGGGGTTGGGGAGTAATAGGAGCGTATATAAGAAAAAGACCCCAAAATCGGGACTGTCCCTATAAAATTGGGACATCTGGTCACCCTACAGGGGACAGCCAAATAATTCACTCCCCTCCCGTAAAGGGTTAACAGAGGAGGCAAGGCAAAGGGCTCCCCATGCCCCACAGAGATAGCTAGGCCCCCCTCACTTCCCACCCCAGTGCAACGAACCCGACACAGGGTTCAGAGCGTCAAGGCCAGAGGGGACCATGAGATCTCCTGTGTTGCGCAGACCACAGAACCTCCCCCAGCTCCACCTGGATTGAGGCCAATCACTTGCGTTTGACTAAAGCAGAGATCCCCAAACTGTGGGGCAAGGAGGAGCATTCTGGGGGGGCGCGGCATGCAGCTCTGCTCTCGGTCCGCCCCCAGCTGTGGCCCCAGCCTCGGCCCCCTTACCCCTTTCCGCATCCCCCACTCCCACAGCCTCGGTCCCGGGGGTGGGGGGGTGCAGACAGGGGTAAGGGGGACACAAGGTGAAAAGTTTGGGGACCACTGGACTAAAGCATTTGCCACTGGATCCGAAGACATCAAGTGCTGGAGAACCCACTGAGTCCCTTGGCGGCTTGCTCCGGGGTTAGTCACCCTCTCTGTGGAAAACACCGGCCTGATTTCAATTTGAATTTGCCTGGTTTGAACCTCCAGCCATTGAATCCTAGAATCTCAGGGTTGGAAGGGACCTCAGGAGAGCATCTAGTCCAACCCCTCCTCCAAGCAGGGCCAACCCCAACTAAATCATTGGTCCTGGTTCTGCCAGTCATTGGAGGAGCCTTTTAGTACCGGGGTTTTCTCCGCGGCTCCTCTCCAGTTTTCCCAACATCCGTTTTATGACGCGGAGCTGGCGCGGGGTTGCTGACCCCAAAAAGCAGGTGTCAGACCTCAGTGACCCATTAGATGGGTCCCCAAATCATGCAATGGACTAACTAATGTTTGCTGAGCCTTGGTGGTTTGCATTCCCCCCGTCCCCAATGTGTGTTGCCGATTTCGGCTGAGGAATACGATTCTATCCCCTACACCCCGACAGCTAATCCTTTTGGGCGGCTCCCCCCACAGCCCCACGTCTGCTCTTCTAGTTGCTGTGGAAGCTCTTCACCTGCACACCCCTGGCCTCTGGGGGGGCACCTCTGGGGGGTCCGCGTCTCCCCCTGCCAGGCCGGGTGCTGCAAGGAAGGGGCGGGGGGCGGGGGCACCCTGAGCTGCTGGGTTCTTTCTGCCCCCTCCTGTGAGAAGGCTGTTGGCTGCTCCCCCCTCAACTCCTCTGGGGGGCTGGGGAGCCCTTTGCCTCCCTCCTGCTGCAGCCCAGGTTGGCGGCTCTTCCCCTGGAGGCGGGCGGGGGGACGGACAGGCACCCGACGGGTACGGGGGTTCCCCATGGCAGCTCCTGTGGTATCACGGTGAAACTGGCTCCACCATGGGCCAGTCTCACAGTCTGCTGGGGGGCCTCTGGCGCTAGGCAGGACAGCCGCAGGTTAAGCCATGGCTCGGGCGAGGGGCAGCAGGGCGGGTTTGCGAGCAGCCAGGCAGGAAAGCCCTGCAGTAAACAAACCGGTGGGCCAGCACCCAGCCTGGGTAGCTGAGCTGGACGCGGGGCAGCCGTAGGGCACGGGGCCACGCCGCACAGGCTTCTTCTGCCTTCTCGGCTGAAACAGCGCCCTGCCCAGACCTGCATGTGCGCATGGCCCTTCCCCGGCTCCTTCCCCACCCCGCCACCGTCCCCTGCCGTGCAAGGAGAGCCCACAGACCGGGACTCCGATGGAGTCAGCGCTCCCCGCACGGCCCCCTGCTCTCCACCCAGACATTGGAGCAGCCCCTGGGAGACTACAGATCCCAGCATGCCTCGTTCACCCCCGCCCTGGGCAGCCCTGCGCTTGGATCAAGATGGGGCGCTGCCCCTTGGGAGCGTTGTCCGTCCCCAGGGAAGTTGCAGAACAACCCGGGCCAGGCTCCATCTTTAGCCAAGCCGAAGGCTGCCCGGATCAAGGTGGAGCATTGCATGCTGGGACTTGTGGTCTCCCCATGACGGCGGGCAGAGGCCCTGGCACGGCGCCCCGCGACGAGCTCCGCTTACCGGCGCTGCTGCCCTCCTCCACTTTGCTGACGAAGATGCCCAGCCCGTGCTCCGAGCCACCGCGCACGCTGAACCCCAGCCTCCCGTCCGCGCTCCTCTCCACCGTGACGGTGTTGATCACGTCGCTCTCGTCGCCGGCGGCTGTGGGGACAGGGCCCGAACACGTGGGAGAGAACGGGGCGGTTTCCGCAGCTGCCAGGCTCCGCACCGCCGCCCGCTTACGCAAGGCCAGGCCAGGCCAGGCCTCCCTGGGCACGTGACCGGGCCAGGCCGTGTTCCGGGCATACTGCGGCTTTCCGATGGCCTTGGGAGTGCCGCTGGAGGGCTCCCACGGCATTTACAGGGCTACTGCCCTGTTCCCATCCGCTCACGGAGTCAAGTCCTCACCAAGCCCTTTAGAAGCGTTAACAGCCAGGGATCGCAAAGTGCTTTCCAAGGATCGACTAACTGCACCGCATCCTGCTCCCCCCACTCCCAGGTGGGATTATCACTCCCATTTCACAACTGGGAAACTGAGGCACGGGTGGGGGGGGGCGGGGGAATGGCTCGCCCAGTGATAGAACCCAGGTGTCCTGACACTCAGGCAGTGCTTTGGCCACAAAACCATCCTTCCTTGTTAGGTAAAGAACCCAGGTGTCCTCGCTCCCCGTCTCCAGCTCTAACCCGCTTCCTACCCTGTTTGGATTTGAACACAAAGGGCCACATTCATCCCTGGCGTAACTGCCTGGGCCCGAGCGCGTGCTCGGGGTGACGTGCGTAGTGTGGGAAGTTCCCTATGCTGCAGAATTTCTGCCCATCAATAATTAACGAAAAACAAAACTGCACCCAATCCCCGTGGCCGGGAGGCTGGGACTGGCCTCCAGGCCAGGCTGCAGCTAATGGAGTTACCCTGGAGATGAATTTAGTGCTAAGATTTTTGCTCCTGCTCAGACCAATGGAGCACGTGCAAGGAACGAAGACAAGTTCACTGCAGTGGATTTCAGCCTTTTCCACACTGGTACCTCTCCCTCACCCCCGACCTCCCTCGCATAAACCATGGCCCCCCCATCATTTAGCAATAGGAGTAGGCCAGGGCGGACATGCCCCACGTCCCCCCGGGCGAGAACACCTGGCTCCAAGCTGCTTCTCTGAGCTGTTTGTAGCTGAGCTGAGGTGCAGAGGAAGCTGTGGGGGTGGGGGGAGACTCGGGGGACCAAGTCCAATAAAAAGGGGGCCTGGGTCGACTGGATGGGGAGACACAAGCGCCAACTTCAGGGGCTCTCTCCTGCCTTCGGCAGGGCCAAAGCTGTCCCTGAGGGCACTGCCCTGCCCGACTCATGGCTTGAGAAGGGGCTCGTGTCGGTATCTGGGTGGTGAAGGGTGACCCCAAAAGAAGCCTCCCCCGCCCCGCCCCCCGCAATGGAAGCAGAGAGAGGCCCCGGCTGCCATACCTTCGATGGGCGAGTTGATGAGAATGACCCGTCCCATGGGCGACGAGGTGCGGCTGCCCCGCGGGTGCCCGTTCACCAGCCGGTTCGGCTTCCCGAACAGGTAGCGGGTGGCCACGCTGGCGTCGCTGCCCGAGCTGCGGGAGTGGGTGGCGCAGGCTGCGTCCCTCAGCACTGAGTCGGAACCGTGTGCCATGGCGGGGCGGGGTGGCCGCTAGTCATGGAGGGACCCCGGTGTCCGGGGGACGTCTTCAGTGCGGGAGCAGGGAGGGACCCCGCACCCTGCCCCGGGGAAGCCTGATTCCGTCGGGCGGCCGGGGCGGATCGTTACATTTTGGCTGCTCGGGTTTCCTCCCGCCAATGGAAGTGGGCGCCTGACCCAGCCCAGTGGCATGTTCCTCCGGGTGGGCGTGAAAGGGGCCGGGGCCGCGTTTCCCGCCAGGTCTCAGCTCCGTCCGGGGGCCTCACCCGATGGCGCCGTTCCTGTGCCTATGGCATCAAATCCAAACGGACCCGCGTCAGCCCCACAGCTCTCCCCACTGCCGGGCTCCAGGGCCCCACCAGCGAACAACAAGGGTCATTCGGAACAGCCCGCCCGCGCCTGACACCCCCACGCACGGGAAAAGCTCCCAGGCCAAATCCAGGGAGGAGCTCGCCGATCCGGTCACTTACACTGGCCTCCAGTGGGGTCACTCCGGATTTCCACCAGCGCAGGAGGGAATCGGAATCAGTGCTGGCCCCTCATCGGTCAGTCAGTTAGCTCCCCGGGGGGCATTCAGACCCAGGGGCAAGTAGGCCTGGCCCAACAGGAGGAATAGCTCTGCCAAGCTCACCCTACTCTGCGGCCAGAGAGTCCCCAGACTTTTAGGCCATGTGGGCCCATGTCTATTGGCCGCCCGGCCTGCTCTGCGTAATACCAGACACCACCACTCCCCCGCTGATTCCTGTGTCAAGCCCCTGCCTAGGGGCGAGCCAGAGCCCATGTACTAGGCTCTTTTCCACCTGGAACAACACTGGCAGCCCGGTAATAGAGGGACAGTTAGACCAGAAGGGGCGATAGGCCAGATTTGGCCCTCGGTGCACATTGGAAACACCTCTGTTTACATCAGGGGAGTTACTCCAGATTTACACCGGCACAGAGGAGATCAGAATCTGGCCCTAGCCCCATGCACTACACCGGAGTTCATCCGGATTTACACTTGACGGTGTGAGATCAGCTTCTGGCCCCAACCTGGCTGATTTAAAGGGAATCCCTCTGGGTTTACACCGGGATCAGGGAGATCACAGTCCAGCAACAATCCTGTTGGTTTTCCTGGAGCTACTCTAGGTTCGCCCCTGCGCCGGGGGGAGATCGGGCTCCGGCTGTCTCCTGGTTTACAAGCAACCCGGCACACTTCCCGTGCCCGGGGCTCCTGGCCCCGCTCCCCGGAGGCAGGGGAGCGAGGCGGGGCCAGCTGGAAGCCGGCTCAGGGCAGGGGGGCTGGCCCCGGCCCCGCTGCGCGCAGAGCGGCCTGGCCTGATGAATGAGTGATGCGGTCCCTGCCCGGGGGGCACCGGGCGTGGGGGAAGGGACGGAGCCGGGGAAACACGCGTGGGCCGGGGCAGGACGCTCCCCCCGCACCCTCCAGGTGCGCAACTTTCCTCCACCCGGCGCCCCGCTGTGCCCGCCGTGGATCGGGGGTGGGTGGGTGGGGGGGGCCTCTGCACCTTGGACAGACCCAGCCCCCGCGATCCCGGCGGGGGGGGCTTGGACCCCACGCTCCCCGCGCGCCCACCCACCCAGGTGTCTGCAGGTGAGCCCCGGCTGGGTCCCTCCCCGCTCCCCTTGCGCCAGAGGGGGCAGCAGCCGCTGGGGCCCAGGTAAAGGGCTGAAGGGGCTGATGGGGGGGTCTGACGGGGGGGAGGGGGGGCTGACCCGCCCCAGCCTGCCCCGCCCCCCCTCACCTGTCTCCGTGTTGCTCTGCAGCCTGCCAGCCACCTCACCGGGCAGAGCCACCCAGCTGAGGCTCCACCGCCCCCTCCCACTCAGCCCCACCGATAGGCCGGCCCAGCCGGGGCCCAGGGCCCCCCAGCCTGGCAGTCAGTCCATGCCAGCTCCTGCCTGGTGTCTCTGCATGGCGGCCGGCCGGCCAGGTGAGCTGGGTCCCTGCTGCTCCGGGCCCGGTGCCCCTCCCTGGTGCCGGGCAGCGCAGTGAGGGCGGCTCTGCCCAGGGGCCCGCTGACGCCCACCTGGCAGGGACACTCACACTCCACCGCTCACCTGGGGCTGGGGTGCCCCCGTGGCACAGAGCTGCCCCGATCCCCCCCCAGCCACCCGTCGGGAAGCCCCGTCCCGCTCCTCCCTCCGCTGTCCCCAGGACGGTAGAATTTGGCTGTATTTTGTGGCAGGGCGCCTGGCACACCGTGGCGAGCTCGGCCATATAAATCAGATCCGGCCGTTCTTAATAATAAGGCCGGGCGCTCCTACAAGGTCGCAACCCGCTTTCCAGAGGGCGCGTGGGGTTGTGAGCCCCGTTGGATAAGTGGGGAAACTGAGGCAGCATGGCACGGCCCTGAAACACGTGTGGCACTTTAAGCCCATCCCGCTGACTTTGCTTGTGTGTTCAAAGGGGCACATGTGCCCAAGTGCCTTGCTGAACTGGGCAGGTGACTCGCCCAAAATCACCCAGCACCTCAGTGGCAGAGTTGGGGACAAAACCCACGGGTCCTGGTTCCCAGTTCCCCCTCTTCCAACCACTGGACACCACTCCCCTTCCAGAGCTGGGGAAAAGAACACAGGAGTCCTGACTCCTAGCTTGCCCTGGCTCTAATTCACCAGCCCCCACTCCAGAGCCCAGGAGTCCTGGCTCCCACTCCTATTGTTCCTAATTATTATGATTGGGCTAAATCCTGAGGTCCTAGTGGAAGGAGCTCAGAACTGGACCAAGGACTCTGTCCCAGCCAGTCCCCGGCCTGCCTGCCCGAGGCCATGGTCCAGTGCAGTCGAGAGGAGACTGTTTGAACTCAGTGGTTTGGTTCTACCCCCTCTCTCAAAGAAACAGCGTAAGGGAGAAAGCTGGTGCTGGGTCCCTCCCATGCAGAGAACTGGGCGTATTCCACCCCTGCCCCCAAGGTGCCAAGGCCACCCCCCAGTGTCCTGAGCCCCCTCACCTCCCAGCCCAAGGCCTCGACACTCCTCTTGCCCGGGGAAGCGGTGTCCGCCCATCGGTTGCTGCGGTTCCCTTGCTACTGGGATGGCTGTGACTGTCACCAGGAGGCAAATTTGATACCAGGCCGGTTTCAGGTGATACGCACCTGCCAGGTATTGGATACCCTGGGGAGAGGAGCTGCCGGGTGGCGGATGAAGGGTGAAAGGTCTGCCTGGAGCAAAGCCATCTGCAACCTCCCCCCCCACCCCTATGGAGAGGCGCCTGGCTCGTCACGTAGCCCCACTGATTCAGGAGTAGCAGAGCACTCCCTATCCAGGCTGGCAGAATTGGCTCCTTTTGCACCAAACTCTGCCAAGGAGCAAAGGAGTCAGATGGAAACTTAATTCACATACAAGCAAAGTGAATGCCCTTCAGGATGTGGGGCTGAGCCGGAGTCATGGCTGTCTGTTGTTATAGCCTCAAGGACATTGTCACAGGGCTTGCCGTACTCAGGTCAGTGAGTTTGGGACTCTGTCTCTGACTGGTGCTTTTCAGAAAAGCATAAAAGTAATGCACCTGTCTAAATAATATCATCCCATGGGGCAATTTCTTCCTGACCACAGCTGGTGTGTACCATGAAGCATGAGGACTGAGAACCCAGTTTACTAATCTAAGTGTTTCTCATAAATTTTTTCTTCCCCCTTATTTATAATGATCCACTGAAAACTTGAACCTAAAATTTTATTTTCTATCAAAAATGTGTCCTATCTATATGGCCCCAGTCACCATAGTGACTGAGCACCTCATAGTCATGAATGGATTTTACCTTCACAACTCCCCTGGGAGGTAGGGAAGTAGCATTACTTTTGACACAGTCATCTGAAAGCTTTTGACACAGTCTCCCACAGTATTCTTGTCAGCAAGTTAAGGAAGTATGGGCTGGATGAATGCACTACAAGGTGGGTAGAAAGCTGGCTAGATTGTCGGGCTCAACGGGTAGTTATCAATGGCTCCATGTCTAGTTGGCAGCCGGTATCAAGTGGAGTGCCCCAAGGGTCGGTCCTGGGGCCGGTTTTGTTCAATATCTTCATAAATGATCTGGAGGATGGTGTGGATTGCACTCTCAGCAAATTTGCGGATGATACTAAACTGGGAGGAGTGGTAGATACGCTGGAGGGGAGGGATAGGATACAGAAGGACCTAGACAAATTGGAGGATTGGGCCAAAAGAAATCTGATGAGGTTCAATAAGGATAAGTGCAGGGTCCTGCACTTAGGACGGAAGAACCCAATGCACAGCTACAGACTAGGGACCGAATGGCTAGGCAGCAGTTCTGCGGAAAAGGACCTAGGGGTGACAGTGGACGAGAAGCTGGATATGAGTCAGCAGTGTGCCCTTGTTGCCAAGAAGGCCAATGGCATTTTGGGATGTATAAGTAGGGGCATAGCGAGCAGATCGAGGGACGTGATCGTTCCCCTCTATTCGACATTGGTGAGGCCTCATCTGGAGTACTGTGTCCAGTTTTGGGCCCCACACTTCAAGAAGGATGTGGATAAATTGGAGAGAGTCCAGCGAAGGGCAACAAAAATGATTAGGGGTCTGGAACACATGAGTTATGAGGAGAGGCTGAGGGAACTGGGATTGTTTAGTCTGCAGAAGAGAAGAATGAGGGGGGATTTGATAGCTGCTTTCAACTACCTGAAAGGGGGTTCCAAAGAGGATGGCTCTAGACTGTTCTCAATGGTAGCAGATGACAGAACGAGGAGTAATGGTCTCAAGCTGCAGTGGGGGAGGTTTAGATTGGATATTAGGAAAAACTTTTTCACTAAGAGGGTGGTGAAACACTGGAATGCATTACCTAGGGAGGTGGTAGAATCTCCTTCCTTAGAGGTTTTTAAGGTCAGGCTTGACAAAGCCCTGGCTGGGGTGATTTAACTGGGAATTGGTCCTGCTTCGAGCAGGGGGTTGGACTAGATGACCTTCTGGGGTCCCTTCCAACCCTTATATTCTATGATTCTATGATTCTATGATTACCCCCTTTGTACAGAGGGGGAAACTGAGTCACCAAGAAGTTATGAGGCCCACCTGAAGTAATACGTCAGGTCAGAAGCAGGAATTATATCCAGATCTCCAGGCCTGTGCTTTAATCATAAGACTATCTTTCCTTCCATCAAATACACATCAATAATATCAAATCATCATTTCTCTAGAACAGTGGCTCTCACTTTTTCCAGTCTACTGTACCCCTTTCAGGAGTCTGATTTGTCTTGCCTACCCCCAAGTTTCACCTCACTTAAAAACGACTTGCTTTCAAAATCAGACCTAAAAATACAAAAGTGTCCCAGCACACGATTCCTGACCAATGGCGGACTTTCTCATTGTTACCATATAATTATAAAATAAATGAATTGGAATATAAATATCGTATGTACATTTCAGTGTAGAGTATATAGAGCAGTATAAACAAGTCATTGTCTGGATGAAATTTTAGTTTGTACTGACTTTGCTGGTGTTTTTTCTGCAGCCTGTTGTAAAACTAGGTAAATGCCATGATGAGTTGATCTCTGCGTACCCCTGGCTCAGAGCCACTGCTCTAACACATATGCGAGTGACAACCCTAAAATCCTTCACGATCACGGACTTCTTACAGTACAATAGAGACGGGGCAGCAATTTCCTTCCAAGAGCCCAGGAATCTCTGGGCTAGTTCCCTGACACAGTACAGTGAGAAAGGCTTGAATGGAACCAGTTTGATGTTAAGGCCATGTTGCTGTCTCTGAACCGAGCAGCCTTGCATCTCGTAATTCCGCTTTCGATGCCAATGGAACGAAAGGGGGCAAGGCAGGACGCAGGGGCCAACCTTTGCCATATTTGTCCCTTTGCTGCTTCCACCGGTTTGCCAAGTTCCCAGAATTACAAGGACGAGTTTTCCTCACAATGTCTGGGCGTTGCCCTTTCCCCCCTTCTTAACTAGAAAATGGTCAGCAACCCTACAATAACAAAGCAGTCTTGCCAGCGTGGCCCTCACCAGCAGCACGGTGCCAGGGACAACGTTCCTCAGGGCTATTATAAAACAGCAAGGCAAACAAATCCGGTATTTCCAAAAGTCTGAAAATGAGGCCTGGACAAAGGGCCTGTTCCTGAGCCATCAGCTATCAAGACGGCCTGAACGTGCTTCTACTTGTTGTATTTCTGTAACAATCACAAGTGGGTGGTTCTTTTAAAATAGACTTTAATATCATAGTCAGTGGAGTTTGCTATTAAGAAAAGACAGATTTCCCCCCAGGGCTCTGGTGCCTTGGTCTAATAGTTGCACTGTAACAAAGTCATTCAAATAAAATCATAACATTTCCCTTAAGACCCCTCCCAGGGGATACTTTTCTGTATTTTCCTCTGAATGATGCTCACTACAAATATTGATTAAAAAGGAAGTAGGGGCACCAGTCTAAATCATTAACCTCTGGGGAGTTAGATCAGGGATTAATCTGGCCTGCTCTTCATCTCCTAAAGCCTGTTGCTTGGAGCTACCAGTAGAGAAGTGGCTGCTGTGTTCCACCCCAGAGGCAGCTGCATTTCCCCTGTGAGATTAATCAGGCCAGCTCCTTCAGGTTTCCGTCTAGTGCAACTCCTAACGTGCAGGATGAAAAGAGCTGGAGAGACATAAAGTTGCTATTCTGCACCCCTTAAAAGAATCCAAAAGATTGTGTGGAACCAGGGTACAAACACAGCCTAGCACCGGGGTCTCTCATGCCATCGAAGAGCTGAGTCTTAGCTGCAGTCAATATAAAGGGGTGATTTATTGAGGCTGATGCTACTCCCCTCTCCGCCACAAGTCACATGATGTGACTCGGTTTCCCTGTCTGTTTAAGGAGGGTGATAATGTAAGGCCACCCTGCACGAGAGGTGTGAGGCTAAATTCCTGGCAGATTTTAGGGTGTGTTGAAATCTGCAGGTGGAAAGTTCTCTAGATGAGCAGTGTAATAAATCACTGTTGATATTGTGAAGCGAGTGTGTGGGAGGGATTGGTGCACACTACAGTGTGTATATGGGAGAGCGTCTGGGGTGTGTGTACCTGGGAGTGTGATCGGTGCACACGCAGGACTATGCAGGCGGGTCAGAGTACGGGCGCACGTATCAGACGGTGTGTTTGTGTGGACGAGTCAGAGGGGGTGTGTTGTGTGTGAAGCAGAGGGTGTCTGTGTGTGTATGTGTGTGTGTGTGTGTGTGTGTGTAGTTGCCACACCAACTCTCTGTGCAGCAGTCATCCCTGCCTGTCCCTCTCCCCGCCGCCTGCCCCGGGCAGCCTCTGCCCAACAGAGCGGGGTCCGCCCCCAGCGGTGGTCAGCAGGTTTTGCAGTACACCTCGAAGAGGCTGGCCACCGAATGCATGCGGTAGAAGATGCCCAGTGGCAGGGAGATCTTGACGATGATGACCCAGAGGGTGAAGCCATAGAAGGCCTGCTCGATCTGGCTCACCAGGTGCGGCCGCGTCCCGTAGGCATAGAGGATCCACACCTAGCAAAGCAAAGGGGTCAGGCGTCAGCCGCTCAGGGGCATGGGCCGTGCTGGACCCTCTGTCCATCACTGCCACCTACTGGATGGACTCAGATGTGCGGGGACTGACGCCTAGTGAACCCATTCGCTCCCGGTCTGCCCCTCTCCCCATTGAACCTGTCACCAAGGCAGGGCCAGGCCTCGTGCATTCCTCCTGGGTGTGTCCATCCATTGGGAATGGGGCTGAGAACCACCGACTCATTGCACATCAGCAGCCACCGAGCACCAGCCCAGCAGTAACAGGCACTCCGTTCCGCCCAGCAATGAAAGGCCCCCGGCTGGGGCATTGACTCTCCCACCCTGAGCACTGCATGAATGTCACCCCCTGCCGGCAGGACCAGCGCAGAGTGGATGGTGCTTAGTGCATATCCTCACACCATGCACTGACAGCAATGTGGGGACAGGGCTTGACTGGGGCCTGCCACTATCCATGGGGTGTGTGTGTGTGGGGGGGGGGGGGTCCCAGCTTCGTAGTGAGGGTGCTGGTGAGGGGGGCCCCTGCCGGGGGAGCCTGCCAAGAACAATCCTGCATGGGGTCAGAGGACGGACTAGACCAGCATTGACAGAGCTATGCCATAGGCCGCATTACGTGACGGGGGGCCCCCGGGCTCTGCCCAGTGATTATAATGACAGATTTGTGTTGGAGCAGTGCCCATGGGTCTGGCTGGGCACACAGGCAGGCCCCATGGCTTCCCATACGGGGATCTCTCCGCAGCACCGTTTGCTGACAACCCGTCTCATTTGCCCTTCTATTCAGCTGAACACAGAGCAGGGGAAGGGGTGACTGATCACAGCCTCTAAGCACCAACATGGGGAATACAGATTTGGTACCGGGCTCTTCACCCTAGCAGACAAAGGTCTCACACCATCCCCTAAACCCTCCCCCACACAGAGGCTTGTTTGCTGGACACACTGTGGGGGGAAGGTCCTGTGAATATCTGTTCTCTGTACAGGCCTAGGGGCCCTTACAAGGCACGGGCAGTGCAGGGAGAGGAAAGCTGATCTTCCAGCCCCACCGGCAACCCAAACACAAGGACCTCGCCTGAGAGAAACTGACTAGGAGACCTGCAGCACCTCAAACCGCCGAAATGGTGGGAAGCAGTTTTGGAGGTTAAAGTCCATTCACTTTCATTGTCCCAGGGCCAGATCCTCAGCCGGTGCAAATCAGCTCAGCGCCATAGGCGTCCATGGATACACACCAGCTGAGGATCTGGCCCCCAGATCCCTTTCCGTAGCACTCCTTCCTAGGCAGTCATTTCCCATTTTGTATGTGTGCAACTGATTGTTCCTTCCTAAGTGGAGTACTTTGCATTTGTCCTGATTGAATTTCATCCTATTTACTTCAGACCATTTCTCCAGTTTGTCCAGATCATTTTGAATTTTAATCCTCTTCTCCAAAGCACTTGCAACCGCTCTCAGCTTGGTATTGGCTGCAAACTTTATAAGTGCACTCTCTATGCCAGTATCTAAATCATTGATGAAGATATTGAACAGAACCGGACCCAGAACTGATCCCTGCGGGACCCCAGTCATTATGCCTTCCAGTATGACTGTGAATCACTGATAACTACTCTCTGGGAACGGTTTTCCAACCAGTTCTGCACCCACCTTATAGCAGCTCCATCTAGGTTGCATTTCCCTACTTTGTTTATGAGGTCACGGGAGACAGTATCAGAAACTTTACTAAAGTCAAGATAAACCACGTCTACCGCTTCCCCTGTCGGAGTTAAAGGGGCCTCTGATGGGTGAGGAGAGTGTCTGTGTTAAAGCTGTCTCTAGATGGGAAGTCAAACCTTTCTGGAGGCTCCTTTGTGTCAAAGGAGGGCTGGTGGCCTGGGAGCCATGTGGGCCCAGGAGAACAGCTTGCACAGCCAGGCAAACAGGTCAATTATTAAGATTCCCCCCCCCCCGCCATCAATTCTTTTGGATTTTTTTGATGAAAACCTGAACCCGAAACTTTTTGCTCAAACTCCAGAAAATTTTGACCAAAATGAAAAGTTCGGTGCTGGACGAAAAACTCTTTTTTTTTGTCCCTTACCCCGCATCCTCCAAAGTTAGACAAACTAATCCCAGCTGCCTCTAGTGAAAATCCCCGGGGCTGACTTTAGGGACGGAGTGCAAAGCGGTGGACCCCAGGAGAGACAGGTGGGGGGTCTGCGGGAAGGGGGAGCACTACGCGGGCCGTTTGGCTCAGATCTATTTGTGTGTCTGGGCCCCCGTGACAAGAGCAGGGCAACATTTTTAAACTGAAACTTTTTCAGCAAAAAACCCACAGATTTGGGTCGATCGAAAGCTTTTGCAAACAAGTGTTGATTTAGGCAAAGTGTTTCAGTTGGGAAAAAACCTTGAAAAGAATCCAAATGTTCCACTCTGACATTTTCAAAAAGAAACACCTCAACGTTTCGATGCCAAAGGCCTTTTTGTGGTGCCGTTCCCTGCGATTTGGCGAAACCAACTGGAAAACCCCTTTGAAAATGATCAAAATGGAAACGAGGGTTTTTGGTTTCGGGTCAAACAAGAAACGGGTTTCGACTTTTCGATTCACCGGAAATTCTGAAAAAGATCAGTTTTGGTCAACCTAAAACGATTTTTCCCCCCTTGATTTTTCAGGATCGTCAGAGACCCAAAAACCATATTTGCCCACCTCTATCTGTGATCTCCCTGTCCAGCAAAGCTGGCTCCAGGTACATTCTGCACAGAAACAACTCACCCAGACAATAACTAGACTAGGTGTCACTGATTTCTGACCTGTATGACCCTGACACCCCCCACCCTGTGGCCAAAGGCAGCATTCCTCTCTTTGGGGACCGCCACGGAACAAATTGGTGGTTCTCAGTGTAGTTTCTAGTGGACGAATATTCACACCATCGACAACCCTTCTGTCTCCTACTGTCCCCTTGCTGGCAGCCTCAAAAGGGCTGAATGGGGTTGTGAGACTGAGTCCCCATCTTGTCCCTGGCCAGGGTCCCCCCAGCAGGGCTGTACGGACAAAGCTTGCTCTGGACTGCACAGCACCTACTCTGTGGGCTGGATGAATGCACTATAAAGGTGGGTAGAAAGCTGGCTAGATTGTCGGGCTCAGTGGGTAGTGATCAATGGCTCCATGTCTAGTTGGCAGCCGGTATCAAGTGGAGTGCCCCAAGGGTCGGTCCTGGTGCCGGTTTTGTTCAATATCTTCATAAATGATCTGGAGGATGGTGTGGATTGCACTCTCAGCAAATTTGCGGATGATACTAAACTGGGAGGAGTGGTAGATACGCTGGAGGGGAGGGATAGGATACAGAAGGACCTAGACAAATTGGAGGATTGGGCCAAAAGAAATCTGATGAGGTTCAATAAGGATAAGTGCAGGGTCCTGCACTTAGGACGGAAGAACCCAATGCACAGCTACAGACTAGGGACCGAATGGCTAGGCAGCAGTTCTGCGGAAAAGGACCTAGGGGTGACAGTGGACGAGAAGCTGGATATGAGTCAGCAGTGTGCCCTAGTTGCCAAGAAGGCCAATGGCATTTTGGGATGTATAAGTAGGGGCATAGCGAGCAGATCGAGGGACGTGATCGTTCCCCTCTATTCGACATTGGTGAGGCCTCATCTGGAGTACTGTGTCCAGTTTTGGGCCCCACACTTCAAGAAGGATGTGGATAAATTGGAGAGAGTCCAGCGAAGGGCAACAAAAATGATTAGGGGTCTGGAACACATGACTTATGAGGAGAGGCTGAGGGAGCTGGGATTGTTTAGCCTGCAGAAGAGAAGAATGAGGGGGGATTTGATAGCTGCTTTCAACTACCTGAAAGGGGGTTCCAAAGAGGATGGCTCTAGACTGTTCTCAATGGTATCAGATGACAGAACAAGGAGTAATGGTCTCAAGTTGCAGTGGGGGAGGTTTAGATTGGATATTAGGAAAAACTTTTTCACTAAGAGGGTGGTGAAACACTGGAATGCGTTACCTAGGGAGGTGGTAGAATCTCCTTCCTTAGAGGTTTTTAAGGTCAGGCTTGACAAAGCCCTGGCTGGGATGATTTAACTGGGAATTGGTCCTGCTTCGAGCAGAGGGTTGGACTAGATGACCTTCTGGGGTCCCTTCCAACCCTGATATTCTATGATTCTATGATTCTATGATACTCAGAGGATAGATAGAGGACCTGAGCTCAGATCCTCAGCTGGTGATGGCTCGGTGGAGGGACGGTAATTGACACCAGCCGGGGGTCCGGCTGTCAGCCTCCAGAGCTCCCCGTGGGAAGCTAGAGCCCCAGGGCTGGACAATCAGGCGCCATGAGCCAGCTCACCGAGATGTTGTAGAAGATGAGGAGGATGGAAATGTTCTGCAGGATCTTCCTCCGGATGCTGACGCGTTCCGGCTCCCCTCTGGGCCAAGACTGCTGGCCCCCGGAGGGGATTTTGGCAAGGGAGTCATTACTGCTGCTGCAGGCCAGCCAGCACCCCGGCACCTGCTCCTCCAGCTGGGCCACCATCCTGGCTGGTGTGTGGCGGCTGGCCGGGCAGATGGCGCAGTTACTCTCATGGCGGGCAGCCACGTCCTGCTGGACCGGCTCTTCGGCGTGGCCTCCGGAGATGGAGAAGACCCATTCGTTGCCTGGGAGGCTGTCGGGGGCATCAGGCCGGTGGGTGGGCCTGGAGTAAAGGGCTTCGGTGATGAAGAGGTTCTGGCCCAGCACTTGGATGGTCTTGCAGAGGGAGAAGCAGAGGTCTAGGAAGTGGAGGCTCCCGTTGATGTGCAGGAAGAAGATGGCCACCAGGGAGAAGACGGAAACCATCAGGGGCCCGCAGGAGCTGCCCAGCAAGAGGGTGACATCCAGGCTCCGCACCACGCTCTTGGAGCAGTCGGTGGAGGCCGGGTCTCTCTGGAGCCGGTAGGCAGCGATGCCGACCAGTGAGGCCAGGAACATGGCAGAGAGCAGCACTGAGTTGAAGATGTAGTAGGTCCGCAGGGCCTCAGGGACCGTTTCAGGGGCCTTGGCCAGCACTCCGAAGGAGATCATCACCCCGAAGGTGGCCGAGATGGCCAGCGCCCCCAGCACCAGCCCCACGAAGGCCCCGCTGAGGTGGAAGCGGCCCCGGGGGCATGGGTGGGGCTGCCGGCGACAGGCCGCCTGCCCCGTGTTCTTCCACACCACGTAGAGCATGGTGGAAGAGAAGAGGCTGAACTCGATGTTGAAGGGGTGCAGGTAGGCGGCGCCCTCAGAAAAGATGTGGCACAGGCTGGTGGCACACGAGCAGCTGTTGGTGGGCGAATTCCCTGCAGCGGGTGAAGTGGGGGGGTCACTCAGCATGGGAGGGAGACGGACTGGATGGGGGAAGGGCTGTGCATAGGGATTGGAGGGCAAGGCTGTCCGTGGGGGGCTCTTCCTAGGGGTGGGGGACGTGGCAGTACACGGGGGTGGAGGATAAGGCTGTCCGTGGGGGCTGCTGAAGGGTCTGGCTCCTTAGCGGCCCCCCAGCCCCATCTCATCACTGGTCCGGGTGGGTGTATAAACCCCGTCCCAGGGCCCCTTGGCTCGGCTGGCCCCAGGGAATCTCCGTCTGCCCGGGACCGTGTGGCACACACTGTGGTGATCTATGTGGGGGAAAGGGGCGTTGACCCCCCCGCCACGGGTCCAGCCCCCCGCCCTGGGGGCCCTCACCATGCCCGGGCCAGGGGCTCTCCGTCTCGTGGGCGTCGTAGATCTCCTGAAGCTGCTTCATGGACTCGTCCAGCACCACGCTCATCCACATGAGCACATTGGTGGCCAGCGTGTGCATCAGGCCAAACCTGGGACAGGGGAGAGGGCAGGGGGAGCTCACAGCCCGGCCTGGCCCCAAGGGGCTGCCCCCGAAACAACCAGCCCTCGCCCCCATCCCGGTGCACAAGCCGGGAGCCCAGATACCTGTTGAGATGCTGCTGCTCCTGGATGCAGACCTTGGCGTGGAAGGACAGCAGGGACACCTGTGCCGAGAGCGGGGAGCGAAGGCAGAAGACAGGGTCAAAGAGCAACGGGAAAGGACTAGCTGTTGCCCAGGAGTGACTGAAAGCCCCTTCCACAAGGCATGCTGCACCTTTAACTGCAGTGGCCATCTTGGGAGGCGGTGCTCCCTCCTGGGGACCTGATGTTGGTTCTTTCTTGCTTCGTGCTTTCCCTCCTTCTCCACCCAGCCTGTCCCACACGGCCCTGGGGACACCAAGGCTGGACGAGTACACAATACAGAGGAGCCCTCGTGTGCGAACAGCCTACACTAGGGTAACAGCCTACTACAGCTACCCACTAGTGGAGTCACTCCTTGAGCTCATGTGGCCCGGGCTGTGGGGCTAGTGTCACCTGGGTGGGTCGCTCCTGGCAGTCTGACTCCTCCCTCCTGGCTGCTAGTGCTCTGAGCACACGAGGCCCCTCACCTGGATGATGGTGAACACGGCTTGCACGACAGGGAAGGCGGTGATGAGGACGGAGGTGCAGTGCTGCAGCTCGTAGTAATACCCCAAGGACAGGCAGTCCAGCACCAGCGTGGCCAGGGCAAAGAGCGAGAGCCCGCCTGCCGGGGCAAGAGAACACCATCACCGCAGCCCGGCCAGCCACAGGGCAGCCATCCCGTGAGCCTCGTGGCAAGGGCCAGGCTGGGTGCTGTGGGGCCAGTGGACGGGAGAGGCTGGGGCCTCCGTAGCCGTGGGACTGCAGTGGTTTTGCTTTCTGTCTGCAGCACTTATGGCTAGCTGCCACGCAGACGCGACATCTGACAGCAGAGACGCCCCCACTGCGCTCTCTCCTGGAGCCTCGCGCCCGCTCTCTCTCATTGTGTTCTTGTTCCTGGTTTGAGCCCTGGGGCTGGGCTAGCAGGGGGGTGGGTCGGGATTGAGGGGCACCAGCAGAGCTGCTGTGGGGCAATGGGCTGATCCCCGTGATTGTTTTCGCCCCGGCAGCACACGCCCCCCAACCCGGAGGCAAGCCACCGAACCCCGGTGCTGGGCGGAGGCTGCCGCGGGGCCAGCGGGGTTCCCGGGGAGCAGACGGTACCTTTCAGCCAGCTGGCCCCGGCATGGTGGTCCTGGTGCAGCTTCCGGTGCTTGTTCTGGGAGGAGTGCCAGCCGAACCACAGCATCCACGCGCAGGACGTGAGCATGAGCGTGGCCAGAAAGCCGTGGACATTGAGGCTCTGGGGGCTGCGCTGGTGAATCTCGGCCAGCAGGACGGCGCTGCCCAGGAAGGTCAGCAGCACGAGGTAGAGCAGGGACAGCAGCGAGCCCGCCCGGGCATTGGCCAAGTCCTGCCAGCCTGCGCCCTCTGGGTCAGCGGGGGAGTCTGGGGCTCCCTGGCCCTGCCCCTCGGGGGGGTGAGGGGAGCCCAAAGGGGGGCACCGCTGCAGCATGTTGCTCATCGCCCCAGGGATCATGGCTGTGAGGGGAGGGGACAGGGAACCGTCAGGGAGGGGGCAGGATGGGGCCCAGGGCAGAGGTGGGACAGGGGAAGGGGGAGATACCCCACGGGTTACCCCCAGAAGGGAGACTTAAGGGGGGGTTACACTGCTCCCCTCACAAGCATTCACCTCCCCTTGCACCCCCACGTGTCCCCACACACCCATCAGCCCATCTCACTCTTACTCACCCCCTCCAGCTTTCATCCTCATCCTCACAGTGCCGGCCCTTTCCCTAGGCATAAACGTCGGTGCACGGTGCTGGGTGAGGCAGGATCCGGCCCCCAGGAGCCAGCAGAAGGAGGGGATTGAAGTCACTCCTGGCTCGCGGGGGGTCTCTGGGCGGCTGGGAATGGCCATTCCACAAGTGGCGTTTGCTGGGCCGAGCCGAGCTGGGAGCAGCCCAGGGCCGAGGCTGCTCAGGTGCCCCCATGGAGAAGCCTCTGCCCTGGGCATGGAGAAGGAGGCCTCCAGCCCACCGCCCTTCCCCACCCAGCCACGGGGGGCATGTGAGCACTGCCCTGCCTGCTCTTTCCACACACGCCCCCAGCCCAGAGACGGACACACGGACACTCCCAGGTGTGACTCAGAGCAACAGCAAGATGGGGGGGGCTGCTGGAGGCAGACGCCGAGCTCTGGACTCTCCACACAGCCAGTGGGACCGTCTCCTAGACTCCCTTGGGCTGTGCCTGGGTCCAGGGGATCATGCCCGGCATCCACGGGGCTGTGCCCGGGTCCAGGAGCCATGCCTAGGTCCAGAGGGTCATACCCGGCATTCACAGGCTTGTGTCCAGGTCCAGGGGGCAGTGCCCGGGGCCAGGGGCCATGCCCAGGTCCAGGGGGTCATACCCGGCATTCACAGGCCTGTGTCCAGGTCCAGGGGGCAGTGCCCAGGGCCAGGGGGTCATGCCCAGCATTCACAGGGCTTTGTCCAGGTCCAGGGGCCGTGCCCAGGTCCAGGGGCCATGTCCACCCTAGTCTTTCTGCCTGGACAGGTGTGGGCGTGTGGGGTGCTGGTTTGGTGAAGGTTGGGAGTCAACGGGCTAGGACCTTTAACTGGGGCTGGGCCAAACTCTGAGAGTGACGGCTGCAGGGCCCCATCCTGCTCCCGGGGGGAGGGGCTGGTCGCTCCGGATAGGCTTCCCCTCCCAGCTTCACTAGGCTCTCTGGTGCCACGACAGACAGACAGACAGACGCTTCCAACCTCTCCATCCACACAAACCTGCCTGGAATGGACCATGCCGGCGTCCCACCCGAGACGTCCAGCCCTGGGGAGAGATGGCCATAGACACCCTTGGGACGGGTCCATGCATCTGCCCCACACTTACACGCTGCCGCCGGTCACGCTGGAGACTCAGGAGCGTGTCTCATGCTACCCTCTGTCCTCGCTGGCTGTGTGGGGCACTCTGCCCAGGGGACGCCTTAATATTCCAGGGGGTGGGTCTGCCAGCCTGGCACCTCCCACTAGAGTGATCGGGGCAGGGGGGGAGTTGCCACAGGCAGCCCCCTCCCCGCTGCACACAGAGAGGGGAGCTGCCCCTCCCTGGCCGCTCGCCCTTTCATGGCAGATTGGAGTTTAATAACTGGAGTGTTTCTGGAACGATTGCAGCCAAAGGCCATCGAGGAGACCCGGTGCCGAAAATCCAAGGGCAGGGGGAAGGAGAAATCAGAAATCGCTTGATTTGTGGGTGGGGAGAAGCAGGGAAATGTTATTTAAATCTCTCTAGGTACAGAAGAAAAAAAAAGATCAGATTGTTTCTCTGATCACTAGGGAATTGCCCCCAGCCCAGCGCCTGTCACCCCAGTGGGGCAAATCCAGGGGTGACTGCAAGGAGAGAAGGTGGACTCTGCTGTTCTGAAACCACAGGGTCACATCCTTTCAGCTAAAGGGGAATCCTCAGTACCCCTGAGCAGTACAGGGCGTAGGCCACACAGCGCCAGTTTGGATTTCATCCAGCAGAGGGTGCCTGCATGCGCCCACAAAACGCAGCCACGTGTTGCAGGGTCTTTTTTGTGTTCATGGCTTTCCTCCTGGTAGTGGGCGAAGGGCTGGGATGCCAAGGGCAGGACGGGCACGGAGGGGCCTGTCTGGGGTCAGACAACCTCTGAGATCGGCAATCGCAGCCTGCCCAGCCGTGGCGCGGTGCCAGGCACCTGCCAACACGGCTGCTGCTGCAGGGTGCCCCGAGGCGGCTGGTACTAGCCCCAAGGATGGCCAGTGGGGCACAGATTTGGCACCCCCCATTCAGCCTGTCAGTGGAGCTCCTAGGCAGCGCCAGCTGCACCTGGCAGCCCCCTGGGGCGGCCCCGGCCCGGGGAATGGCGGCCGCGCTGCCAGCCCTCTCCTGGGGGGGCCGGGGCAAATGCCCCCTTGGTGCCAAACTGCCCCAGCGCGGGGGAAGGGAGCCCGGGCGAGGACACCAGATCCGCTGCACGGATCACGGCGGGCCCGATCCTGGCCCCGCTGCGGGCCGTGGGAGCAGGTCTGCCCCACCCGGCTGGGCACGGCCCGGGCGCCCGGAGCCTGGAGCGCGGGGAGCCGCCGAGCTCCGCCCCGCCAGTGCCCGGCCCCTTCCAGCGGCGCTCCCCGCCCTCCGGCCTGCGCGGTGCCTGGCCGCGGCGCCGCTGCGCACTGGGCGGGAGCCGGCGCTGTCAGCGAGCCGCGGGGCGAGCCGGTGAGTCGGAGCCGTCCCGGGAGCCAGCCCCGCGCCCCGGGGAGGGCGGGCGTGCGGCTGCCTGGGCGCGGGGAGCAGGCGCCCTCCAGCCGTGCGGGCGCCCGGGATCCATTGGTGCCCAGCGAGCGCCCACGCGTGCCCGGAGCGCCCGCCCCTCCCCACCCCACGGGCGCTGCTGGCGGGAGGGGGTGTCGCTTCTCCCTTCCCTGCCCCCCCCCCAGTGGCCGCAGCCGGCCAGCCCAGCCTTCTTCCGTCTGCCTGGCTTTGTGCCCCCCACTCCCTCCCGGAGGTTTAGCGCCAGGCTCTGGGGCTGGGTTTGCACCGTGGGCAGCGCAGGGCTGGGCTCCGGGACTTAGGCAGGGCCCCAGGGGCACCGGCCACTGAAGTGGGGGGTGGGGGCTGGTTTGGGCCCCTCCCCAGTCAAACCTGCCGGGTTCAGTGCAGAGCCCCGCTGGGCCGGGGGTTCGCTCCCCTGTCAGCCAGCCCGGGTTAGCTGGAGCAGCCCAGTTAGGGAGCCCTAACCTAACCTAACCTAACCAGCCCGGGTTAGGGAGCTGTGACCCAGTGGGAGTTCACCGCAAGCGCCTGGCACAACGCAGGCCAGGGGCGAGCAGCAGAGCGGGGCTGGTGGCAAGGGCATTGGCCAAGGGGCTAGCGTTAAGCTCTGGCTGCCAGGGCTAGGCCAGAATCACCTGCCCGGCATCCTCCTAGGTTTGGGAAACCTGCCTGGAGGAACTGTGGTCCTTGGTGCTGAGGGCTTGGTGCATCTTAGCATGCCAACCTCTTCCCCCGCTTTCCCTCCCCCTGCTGCCTCTCCCAGAGGCCCCCTCAGCAGCTCCCAGGCAGATGATGCTAAGAGCAGCGGTCAGTCCCCTGGAGGTGGGCAGAGAGGAGACGCTGGGAGTCCAGCCTCAGCCCTGGCCTGCCTCTCGTCCTTGTCTCACGCCACTCCCTGGGCGCAGGAGCCTTCTCCTCTGCATCTCCTGCCACCTGCCGCAGCCTCTGTTGGTCTCTCCACCCCCTCCCCTGCGGAAATAGTCTCCTCTGGGGAGTGGTGGAGCCCCCTTGGGTCGTTTCAAACTCAGCTGGGACAAGGCCCTAGGGATATGTAGTGTAGGGAACAAGCCTGTTGGGGGGTTGTAGAAATAGGGGCTACTTGCAGAGTAGGGCATGGAGTTCAAACCCTCCTCCTGTCTGGGGGTCAGGCTGTTGGCTCAGGCCTGTTTCTACTCTCAGGAAGCCAGGTTTTGCCAGGGGGCGGGCAGGCTGCCCTGGTGCCCTCCTGCACCCACAGGAGGTACGGGCAATGGACCAGCGTCTGACTTGGCTCACACAGAGGGCAAAGTGACTTTACCAGACCTACTCCGGCGTTACGCTGATATCAGTGAGATCAGGATCTAGTCCGAAGTCCAGGGCATCCTGGTGAATGGGGGGAGTGCCCTTTGGGATGAAGTTAGCAGACGCAGCACCTCCCTTGGTAGGTTTGCTCGCCCCTTGAAATGGGCTCTGGGTCCCGATTTCATACCTTGCAGTCCCTTGCTCCCTGGTGCTCGGTGTTTGGGGCAGCCTCATGCCCTCTGGCCACCAGCTCGGGCTGAAACAGTCACTTCTCTGCACGGCACTCGCCTGCTTTGGGGGAAACACGAGAATTAAAAACAACAGAACAAAACAAGCCGGGGAGAAGGGCTTTAGCAGCTCAGCTGCGGGCAGGCCCTGGCATCCAATTCGCTTCAGGACAACCGGCCATCCCCTCCTCCTGCGCAGGGATTATTCCTGCTGGACAGCATTATAAATATTGGAAATAAATCCTGGGCCAGCTGCCAGGGAGGGCTGACATTTCAGAGATGCAGGGAGCTGGAGGCCTGTAGTTTTTCTGGTTGCTAGGGGGAAATGCACAGACTTTCGCTGGGAGTCAAATGGCAAAAGAGGAACGGAAAGAGCGGGTGGGTGCCAGGGCATGACTCTTGCTCACACCAGGGATACGCCCTGGCACACCACTGCCTGAAGAGGAGTCACTCTGGATTGACACTGGGGTGTCTGAGGTCAGAGATGGGCCCGGTTCTTTGGAGACGTACCTCTGCTGGGCTCTGCCTTTTCTCGCTTGTTGGAGATGGGGCCTCAGCCAATGCCTGCAAGTAACTTTGGAGGAAGTTGGGGTTGGAACGTGGCAGCTGGGGTCAGCACTCACCAGTAGGGGGAAGGATTCCTGTTTCTCTGCTCTGGCCCCATGGCTAGTCCACACCCTGAGCTCATGCTCGCCTGCTTATGTCAGTCACCCCAACCGGGGGCTTGGCTGGGAGAAGACCCCTCCCCCCACACCCCCCGACTGGATGTGCTCAGAGAAGCAAGCCGAACCTTTAAGGGTCTCTCTGCACCAGGGACCCCTCCCTCCCAGCCCCCGCACCGCCCTCCTTGCCAGCACATCCTGGTGTCACCCCACGCCCCTAGGTGGGTCAGCAGCTGCAGGGGTTGAACCTGCGCCCTCTGGCTCTTAAGGCCAAGCACGCTCTGGTATCCAAGGCTGTAGCAACCTCTGTGTGCCCCCTTGCGGTGCAGTTGGGTGATTCATCCTCAGTTTCCCTCCTTGTATAGCCCCCTCATGGCGTAGGCTCACCCTGTAGTGCTGGCTTCCTAGGCAGCTTCTCACCAGCCAGCAGCTGAAGACTCCTGCTCTTGGTGGTTCCTTAGCGTCTCTATCAGCTGCCTGGCACCCCATCACGCCAGCTGCTCTTCTTCCGCCGGCCCAGTCCCCAGAGCTAAGCTCCTGACAGCAACTCTCCTGTGACTCATCCCTAGCGACCCTGAAGTCCTTTCTTCATAGGGCCACCCAGCCTGGTTCTCCCCAGCTGGGTCTAATCCTTAATTACCTGCATCCCCCCCAGGTGCCACAGAACCAGTTTATTGGGCTCACCTGCTCCCCATAGCTGCCAGTGTGGGGGTCAGACTCCCTCTTGCAGGAGCCCAGCCCGCACTAGAGGGGGACCGAGTGCTGCCCGGTGTGGGTCCTACTGGCTGCTCCCTCCTGAAGGGGGAGTGGGGGGAATCAAGCATCCTGGTCTCCCTTCCCCCAGGCTCCGGACCCTGGCTGAAGAGTCTGCTCCCCTTATTAGCCCTTTGCTCGTCTGCTGCACCTTCAGCTTGTTGAATCCAGGCAGTGCTGAATTTCGTCCCTGTGAGGTAGGGGAGTGTTACCCCCGTTTCCTAGGGGGAGGAACCAAGGCACCGGGAGGTGAATGGATTTGCCCATGGGCACATGACGACTCTGGGGCAGTGCTGGGAATAGAACCCAGGCATCCTGCGTCCCCAGCTCTGGGCGTCAGCGCCAAGGGCAGGGCAAGGGGACGGTCCGTTTGCACGTGGTTTGAGCTTTCCCTTTCACTGGGTGGATCTAGTTGCCTCCTGGAGGTTTTCACTGTGTGAGCCTGCCGAGCAGGGGCGGGGAGGCAGAGCTCTTTGATTGCAGAGCCCCAGGGCCTCTCGGCTGAGGGAGGGATCCCATGACATCCTCAGCGAGAGGTCAAGCCCAGTAGGAAGGAGACAGTGCCCTGTGCTGGGACAATGCAGCCGAGCTATTGAACAGTCTCTTCTGGGCCCCCCTGCTCAGGACACAAGGGAACGAATTGCCCCTGGAGTGGAGGAAGGACCCCGTGGGGCCAGAGCAGAGGAACAGGAATCCTGCCCCCTACTGGTGAGTGCTGACCCCTAGCTGCCACGTTCCAACCCCTCCCCTAACAGAGCTGGGAACCCACCGCCCCTCCAGCCGCGTGTGTGTGTGGGGGGGTGTCTGATTGAGGGAGGGCCGCCCCCGTGCTGGGTGCGCTGCATCCTTGCTCCCAAGCCCATAACCTCCCCGCTCGCCGTCTCCCCCCAGAGGATGTCGGAGGAACTGCCCTTGCACATCAACATCCGGGAGCCGCGATGGGACCAGAGCACTTTCCAGGGGCGAGCCAAGCACTTCTTCATGGTGACCGACCCCCGCAACCTCCTGCTGTCTGGGAAGATGCTGGAAGACGCCCGGAGGGTGGTTGAGAATTACAGGTTTGCTGTAAAGTCTGGTCTGAGTTTCCCCTCCAGTGGTTGGGGAGCGGTGGGGCTGGCGGGGGGGGGGGGCATTATCTGAGGGAGGCTCTGCAATCCGGCCACTATGCCACAGTGACCTCTAGTGGTGGGGTTGGGGGTGACGCCTTGAATGCAGGGGGGCCGGGAGCTGGTCCGTGCCAGTGGCTCAAGCAAGCTGTCCTGGCGCCCGCCTGGGAAGGGGGCAACGAGGCGGGGGACCCCTCTGCAGGGTTGGGCAGCAGCTGGCAGGAGAGGAGGGGGGTCTCCTGCTGCCAGGACCCTGTATGTGGGCGGGGCTTGGAGCCAGAGGGCAGTGGCATGAAGGGGCAGGGGTGGCTTTGGGGGGGTTTAAGGACAGAGGGACGTTTGCCATGGCAGAGGGCTGGGAGGAAGCCCAGCGGTAGCTGTGACGGCCAGGGGAGCTCGTACCCTGGGGAGGGAAGGTGCTGGAGGAAGCCACAGGGCACCAGCCTTCTCCCCAAGGGAAGACGGAACCTGTGGTGCGGGGGGAGCCGGGCACCCAGAGCAGAGACGCCCATCAAGGAGGCACGGTAGGGCTTTCGCTCCATGGAGATGTCCG